GGCCCAACCGGACAGGGATCTGTCGGCTAACCTGATATGTTTGTTTCGCTTGAGTATCTCTGAAGCAAGACTTTCAAGGGAATTTGAACATTCAGAATACTTATTATGTTTGATATATCTGAAGGCTGAATCTATTTTCTCCAAAAGACCGCAATTGAATTTATACTGCAACTGGTTTCCTTTAAATTTGAAAAATGGTATTTCAGAATCTTTGCGAGCTCTTTTTAAGGCAAAAAGCGATCTTTGTTCTGACTCTTCAATTATATCACGTTTGAATGTTTTTAGTTTGCAATCCATATATTCTTTGAACAATTGAAAAGTTTCATAACCTTCAACGGAATCCCTTGGTCTGTCAGACTGAATTTCCTCGGCAGCTTCCTCCATTTGATAGCAAATTGAAAATATGCTCGCCTGTGTAATGCGAAGACCTCGAATGGTTCAACACTGTCAGTGAACAAACTCGTAAAAAGTGTTTCAAGTCGAATCCAGGAATCTGTCAAAACCGCCTCCGTTTTCAGTTACCTGAAATATACAATTCCCAACTAAAACTGTGACCAAAGCAAACGTGATATAACAAGTTTCGCAGTTGTTATTCAGAGAGTTTGAAATTATAACCATGATATACTTATCTTAAATTAATCTTCATCTGTGACTGCTGTTTCTTCCGTTTTCCTTGGCTCAGTTTTGGATCCCAACTGTAACTTGACCAGCAACTTCCCACATACCTTACATACCATACCAAACACATCGTACCACTCAAATACAAGGATCTGCCCTACGGCTCAATTTTGCCCAGCGGCTCAACTTTGCCCAACGGCTCAACTTTGCCCAACGGCTCAACTTTGCCCCAACTTTGCCCAACGGCTCAACTTTGCCCAACGGCTCAACTTTGCCCAACGGCTAAACACTCCAATACTTCGCAACCTCAAATTCTTGAGGCAATATTTTGCAAGATGTAAAATATGCTCGACTGTGTAATGCGAAGACCTCGAACGGTTCAACACTGTCAGTGAACACTACACGTCTCCTTCTTCACGTGACTTCGTGACACCACATTCACGTGCAATGTACCTGGCTGCGGCAGGCAAACTCTTACCGTATTTAACCCATAATAAATTCTTTACCACCTTTGGACAAATTATGAAAAACTTGTCTTGTCCCGAGTGCTTAAATAAGTAGAAGCGCTCGTTAAATCTCCAACAAGTCAGCCGGTCTCTGAGCCCACTTGCACAAAGTACAGCAGCGCCACGTAGACCGTACCGCCACGTTCACACAGATTTATCATATGCTGAGATCGGACTGTGCAAGTGGCCCCATGGATTGTATTGGGAGTACACTAGTTTAATCAGACATGGAAATGGCAAGATATTGCATATTCCAACTTTGCTGCATCATGCCATGCTGCTGTAAGTTAGTAAGTTTGGTTCAACGCCTATTTGAGAGTATCTGCTGCTTCACGCGGGAGGGAAAACCTCACCGTGACACAGGTCATACTCTGGTGAAACCCTAACTCGTCGTATTGTAGTGAAACCAACACACGTCGTACTGTGGTGAAATCCACACACATCAAACTGTGATGAAACCCACACACGTCATACTGTGGTGAAATCCACACACGTCATACTGTGGTGAAACCCACACACGTCATACTGTTGTGAAATCCACACACGTCATACTATGGTGAAATCCACATACGTCATACAATGGTGAAACCCACACACGTCATAATGTGTTGAAATCCACACACGTCATACTCTGGTGAAATCCACACACGTCATACTGTGGTGAAATCCACACACGTCATACTGTGATGAAACCCACACACGTCATACTCTGGTGAAATCAACATACGTCATACTGTTTTGAAACCCACACACGTCATACTGTGGTGAAACCCACACACGTCATACTGTGGTGAAACCCACACACGTCATACTCTGGTGAAGCCCACACACGTCATACTCTGGTTAAACCCACACACGTCAAACTGTGGTGAAACCAACACACGTCATACTGTGGTGAAATCCACACATGTCACACTGTTGGGTGAAATCCACACACGTCATACTGTGGTGAAATCCACACACGTCATACTGTGTTGAAACCCACACACGTAATACTCTGGTGAAAACCACACACGTCATACTCTGGTGAAACCCACACACGTCATACCCTGGTAAAACCCACACACGTCATACTGTGTTGGAACCCACACACGTAATACTCTGGTGAAAACCACACACGTCATACTCTGGTGAAACCCACACACGTCATACTCTGGTGAAACCCACACACGTCATACTCTGGTAAAACCCACACACGTCATACTGTGTTGGAACCCACACACGTAATACTCTGGTGAAAACCACACACGTCATACTATGGTGAAATCCACACACGTCATACTGTGGTGAAATCCTCATACGTCATACAATGGTGCAACCCACACACGTTATACTCTGGTGAAACCCAGACACGTCAAACTGTGTCGAAATCCACACACGTCATACTGTGGTGAAACCCACACACGTCATACTGTTGTGCAACCCACCCACATCATACTGTGAATCAACCCACACAAGTCGTACTGTGGTGGAACCCACACACTTCGTACTGTGGTGAAACCCACACAAGTCGTACTGTGGTGGAACCCACACACGTCGTACTGTGTTGAAACCCACACACGTCGTACAAACACACATGCACACACACACACTAGCAAACAATCACACACACGCGCGCACACTCACAAACACACACACTTGTATACACATATACACACGCATGCGCATAGATACACATAATATACTGCAGCTCACAGGAAGCATATGTATAAGATAGTAGTATGTAACCCATCTGGGTATGAGAAAGTAGTGATATAGAATTGTTTAGTTTCATCAAAGAGGAGGCGATGTTACTCAATGTACTCTCACTTTGCATAAAAATGAGATAAAAAAATATCCATTCCTTGCGGGCGAATAATGATAGGCGTTTTAACTTTGAATAAGGCAGACGAGGTGCGTGGTGACTCACGGGGCAGCTGCACGTCACGTGGAGGCCGTGATTGAGATATAGCTTCTTTAAAGTATACTCAACAACAAAAGTTCCTGTGACACGAATATTTTAGTGTATTTTTCAAACATGTAAAGTTTGGTTTTCAATATTGGAGTACATGTAAGGAATCAAGTCACAAAAACGCAACTGCTACAGAAAAGCATGCATTCCATGCAAAAGTTGACTTTTATGCATTTCGATACCCAAGAACGGGTATAAAAACATGTGCGTTAACGGGATTCCATATGCATGACAACAACCACTCAGAAATACAACAAAATTACGCAATTATTCAACTTTACGAAATGCCACGCCTGTCCGAAAATGAGCGCCTGCGAGCCATTGGTATGCTTGAAGCAGGATCGAGTCGACGTGGTGTTGCAAGACAATTTAACGTCCACAGAAACACCATTTGGTGTTTATGGCAACGTTGGCAACAGACGAATGCAGTCAGAGACCATCCCCGGAGAGGCTTTTATATGTTGCAAACCGAAATTGTTTCAGATTTGGTAAAAAACATAACTTTGCATTAAATCTTATTCAATGTCACAGGAACTTTTGTTTTTCAGTATATATACATTCCTTGACATACATACTGGAACTGGTGACATCTTCATAAAGAAATATAGCATTTGTTTGTTTTTTTTTGTTTGCTGTTTAACGCCGCACTCAGCAATATTCCAGCTATATGACGGCGGTCTGTAAATACTCGAGTCTGGACCAGATAATCCAGTGATTTACATCATGAGCATCGATCTTGGCAATTGGGAAACGATGGCATGCATCAACCGAGTCAGCGAGTCTGACCACCTGATCCCGTTAGTCGCCTCTTACGACAAGCATAGTCACTTTGTACGGCAAGCATGGGTTGCTGAAGAGATATTCTAACCCGAATCTTCACGGGTAAAAATATATAGCAAATGAAATTAAATTCATCTGGAATGCATGTACACACACACACACACACACACACACACACACACATTTCCGTGTCGTCAGAGAGTACATACAATATTCCCTAAAGTTGAACAGGTAGACTCCTAAAACTACACACACCCGGTTTAAATTCTACCTAATTTAATTGTTATCTATCATTTATCACAATCACCTTTCACCTGTACACAAATTCCAGCCTGAATGGTATAAAATTCTTTAATTCATAATGGCAAACTCAATGACCTCATTCTGTTATTGTACACCAGCTTATGCAAATATATCAGATTTATCAAACTATAATATTCCACTCTTCCTCATTCACCGACGTTCTCATAAAAATTCACTGACCCGGATGTGTCAACGTAGCAACGTGTCATGCATCGTTTCTGCCTGCATACACCAACCAAATCTAACAACAAACAAAAAAGAGCTGTTTCCCACGAAATGCGTGTATTGCCATCCCAAGTGTACACAGTCAGACGGACGCTATCTACACTGCGGAGCGACATTGGGCACAGGTAATCTTTCAGGACATCTGGCGTGGGTGAGACTGTACCCTGTAGCGTGACCCACCAAATTATCAACGTGCTTGTCAGGATCGCATAACGGACACAGACATATCACTGTTCAACTTCACTGAAATGACTTCTCTCGTGCCTTTTAATGGCTTGTAGGTAGTTTAAAATTGAAGACAAGCGCCCGAACAATCAAAAGCGAGCGGGTCCTACTGGATGTTTACGTGTTGTGATTCCTGACGACATGCTTTATTGACTCTCTTGTGCAATGCAAACAGTAATATGTAGTTGTCAGTGTATGAACTGAACTAACATTCCTTTGATGCGTGGCTTTTATCAATCTTTTCAATTCGTCGTGGATGTATCATCGAAAGCGAGCTTGGGAATTGTGTGGCTGTGTGCCAAGACTCCACGTATTGATCTCAACCTTGCAAGCGAAGAGGCGTGCCTCGTAGTGTTTAGTGAAAAACAACATTGGCATAATACTCGGTCAAGATGAATGCATCGCAGAGAGAAGAGGAAGACTGGATCTACCTCAACCATTGTATAGAAGACCGAGATGTGGGAGCTATCAAACAGTGGTTCGAACCCGGGAACCATCGGGACAGGACGAAACTTCAGTTGTTTACAAACGTGCGTAACCCCGTTTCTCTTGCTGCTGTGGGTGGGGACGAAGAAATATTTGATCTTCTGGTGAGCCAAGGATTCGACCCCCTCACTCCTGATCTGTTGGACGGGGTGTGGCAAAGGAAACCAATACACCTCGCGGTCTCGTCGGGTCATGGTAACCTAGCAACGAAGCTTTTGACAGACTATGGGGTAAATGTTGAAAGCCGTGACGAAACGGGACGGACGCCGTTACACTGGGCAGCAATAACGGGACAAGTGGAGTTGACGAGGAAGCTGTTGGCGTTCGGGGCGTGTGTCAACGCAGCTGAAGGCGACAGCTCAACACCTCTGCATTACGCAGCTGAAGCAGGTAATGGAGGCGTCTGTAAAATACTCATGTCTAACAGCGCTGATGTCAATCTCAAGGACAATAAGGGGTTATCTCCCTTGCATTATGCTGTGCGGTCGCAACCTCCCTCTGTCCACGTTCCGTCCAGTGCGGTGGCAAACCACGAAAGTCTGTGCTGAGGTTATCTACGGACTCCAAGACATTATTTCATTAACTGTGTATATACGGCTGGGTACCCTGTGTAACAAACACAACTCATTCATATCACCGATTAACATTCACAGGTCATTAGAACGCCAAACTGTTAATGAAGTCATTTTGACATGTTGGTACACATCTGTTTTTTTTATTTCTCAAGTAACCATCATTATATATAATTGTACAATTGTTTACATCTTACAATGCACAATAATAATATCTCGTTTTGTACGTTGTACAAAAATAAATATTTTATAGGGTCACGAACATTGTTGTTTTTTATAGATTTAAGTAATTTAAAAATATCACTATAGGTCAATTGAGGTCTTTTCTTGTACACGTGTACTACACTCTAAACTTTGTTATGCTTTCCGTAAAGGCGACTATGCTTGTCGTAAGAGGCGACTGACGGGGTCGTGTGGTCAGGATCGCTGACTTGGTTGATGCATGTCATCGTATCCGAATTGCGTTCTATATCGATGCTCATTATGTCTATCACTTGATTGTCCGGTCCAGACTCGATTATGTACAGACCGCCGTCATAAAGCTGGAATATTGCTGAGTGCGGCGTTAAACAACAACCAAAAAAGAAACAATATTCTAACAGTCGATTGTATCTACATTATCGGTGCACTACTCTTCTACCAGTACCAAGCAGTCTGTTCTCGTGCACCTAGCTGAGGGTTCCGGGACAAGTCTTCAATGCCATATGCGTTTCGTGAAGAGTGGACTCAACCCAGGACCAAGGTTTACAATGAATCAACAGCCGGGTGTGTGTTATTGTTTGTGTTGTTTTGTTTGTTGTTTTGACGCCGCACTCAGCGATATTCTCAGTTATATGACGCCGTTATGTGAATAAATGAGACAATCCAGTGACTGATATCATGAGCATCGGTCTACGCAATTGGGATGCGGCAACATACATCAACAAGTCAACGAGCTTGACCACCCGATCCCTTGGGATCTGTGATGGTCTTCGGAGGAGCAATACGGCAAATATGGACCTTGTGTGAATTATATTGACAATAGGTGCTGAGTCAGGGTCCAGCCAAGAGAATATAATTCCTGACTGATCGAGGTAACGTCGGCCGAGGAAGGAATACCACTATCCTACTACAAACCTATGCATTTGCTCTCAGGGCGTTGTCACCGTTGTCAAGGCCTTTTGCACTTTTCTCAGTTTTTACTTGTACATGTTTCCGTGTTTCCTCAGGTGGACAATTGACTTGCCATTGCATGTGTTTATGGCAGGTGACACCGATGTGGCAGGATACGCTCACCTTGTCACGAACACCTGGTAACAGTACTATTTGATAGTGATTCCTTAACACACGCTTATGATATAGTCGGAATCGTACAATAGACTGTTTCGTCGTTTTATGTATGATGATCGAAATTGTTTTGGGGTAGCGTTTATTATGAACAGATAAGTTCTAAAACTTTACCCAGTGTTTTTCCAAACATTATCCTTGATGATATGTGTATTTGCTACGTACTGACATTTACCTTCAGACAATCATATGCCACCAATACGTGTACATAAAAGCCACAAATCCATTGCCATAATCATATTATTATTTTTTATTAAGAATAACTGAAACATTCAATCTGAAACATCAAGAACAAAAGAAACAGTTCTACATGATTACAGAAATATTGATATGTAACAATGCCATTGTTTGCATCGTATCAGATGATTTTCTCTGACAATACGTTCTAGCATATAAGCAAAGAAATGACAAATCGCATCGGTGAATACATTGCCTTCGATACCGCATCCGTGGTCAAGTGGCAGAGCAGAAGGTCGGGAATTCGAAGCATGCCTTCAGATAACAAACATATTAAAAATATATACCACATACATGAGAAAATCATATCATTTAAGTTATAATGGTTACAAACAGATTTGAAACAGATGTCATAAGCTTGACCTTCATGATAGAGGGCAGAAATATTTCTCATATCATTGTCTCTCCAGCACCAACTTGAATCCAGTTTTCTCTCTGTTTGCATTGTACACTGGTTCCAGTCTGATGCCGTAGTTTCCAATATCCGGTTCTTCAATCCCCAACTCGCCAATTGTTTTAGTATCCTCTAATTCGGTTCCATCAAAGACAAACTTTAACTTTTCAAGTGGAGTATCAATCTGCTCGGATATCGACTTCCTCAGAGTCTTCACTGTTGTTTCCATGCGTAACGATCTATGTATCATCACTTCTCCACGGTCAGTCTTCGAAATCCAACGTCGTGGTCCCAAACCTCCGACTCTACCATAATGATCATCGGGTGTAGCCACAATCGTACTTCCATCTTATATATCGCAATCATCAAAGGTCATGTTGAGATTCAGTTCTTCGACATTGTGAAAAAGAAAGTAGTAAGTGCTGTTTGTCTTCTCTTGTAGGTCCATCATCAGTGTGTTTAGGGAATCCTTCCTGTTCACTTTCAGGTCATAGTTGAGTTCTCTGCCATTTATCTCATATACGTGCACGTGGATGAGCATATTTCTATAGAAAAGATGTGACAACGAGATTACTGAAGAGTATCAGAACGAAATACATATTTTGTTTTATTTTGAGCAAAAACTTAAGGTCAAATTATTTTAAAAGCATTTTCTGCAACATTATATTTTTATATACATTCTAAAATATCAAATTACTAGTCTCAAATAGTATTTAACACATCAATATCATTTTTGCAGTACCTGCTCGACGTGATAACTGTAAAGCTGACATTTAAATTTTTTTAGTGAAGTGTATAGCCTTCGCGGCAACCTTTCCTTCTGCAGAACCACTTGACATATGACTTTGGGGGGTGGTCATACACCTTCTGCATGTTACAATGATGCAGTAAGGTTTTCAAGTTTGAATTACCAAGATGGCCAATAAATTCAGATCTTGTTGTTCGATACCTCTGCGTTGTTATATTTTTTGTTAAAAAAATGTTGTAATTGTATCACATTGTATCTGTGAGACTCAGTAGAAGTTCTTTGCATTGTGTTTTAACAATGGTTATTTGTCGATAATGTTGTACTGTTTGATGTAAGCAGGGGTGTGAAAGTTACTCAATTTAGATACTTTTGGAGTCATCCAGCATGGGTATTTATATCATGTATAAGGGAGCGAGAAATTGCCTCTCTTATCTCAAAATTACATCTCACATTACATCAAGCATCAAGATCATTGTTTTCACTCTGGATATCCAGCCTTGGCCTGTTTTTGAAGCTTGCCCACTGTTGCTGCTAGGGGCACTGTCATATTATTTATAGCGTCATTGTAATTGTACTGCCATTGAAATTTGTACTGCTACTCTGTTGTGTAATACATTTATAATTGCTGTGCAGTAATTTGTATTAAATTGTATACCTAGTAAATTATGTAATACAATTGTTAATTGTATACCATTTATTTGTTGTTTGTTCGTTTCACACTAAGTTCTTTAATGTATAGATTTCTGGGTTAACTTGTTTCTATTTGGAAGTCGACAAGTAACAACGTGAAGACATGGCTCAAGCTGGGCCCGGCCTCTTCATATCACAGCTTGTGTTCGATTTCAAAACCCTGGGCGACCCAGGTGAACCCGTGTTGATCAATATATTAATAACCCAAATTAACCTTGGTTTATCAGTACTTGCGTTCAATTTCAAAACCCTGGACATATAGCGTGTCGACCAAGGTATTACCCAAGTTAACCTTGGCTGACCAGCGTTAGCACATGTTAACATTGACGTCATTCTTCGGTTGACCTAAATTGTCCATACCTACTGAACCCCTAGGGTGCGGTACACTTGTTAGCAGCCTCCTTAAAGCTAATTTGTTTCATTTATTGATTCAATCATCAATAAAAGCATTTTTATGAATATAATAAAATTGGTATTGATTTTATATATGTATGTTATATTTATTCCAAGATGCGCCTGGGACATTTAACTTTCGACTGTAGACATAAATTCAAATGTACTTTAATTAGAATCAATTATGCATGTTTGGAGTCAAGCATTGAATCTCTTGTTAACTTCTTTCATAACAATACTATACGTTTTAGCAGTATCACTCGGGGTACATGTCGTTTTATGCGTCCCGTGTTTTATACCAAGAGCTGTAATATAATTCAAACAAATTCAAAATTGACAGAAAACAACTGTTCAATCGAGCTTGGCTCAACTTGTCTTTCACGGACTCCGTAAAAAGTGTGCGCCTTTTTGCTTCGATGCCGAGTAAAAGGGATTTATTCTCTCTCCCAGAAATCCACGTGCAGCCTGTCATGTTGTGACGGGGTTTAAGTGATTTGTTCTCCCGCTGAGAAACGTTTTTTTCCAAAGCGGGATACATCATAGTTTATCAAGATCACGTGAACCAATCAGATTTCATCATTCTGACATGGAGGTATGATAAACATGGTTGTTGTTTTGGCCTGCCATTTTGTATCGTATCTAGGATTGCACCTTATGCGTTTTATTTCGGGTACTCCTTGATTAACACTGGTTGCAAGAAATGTAACCCCGACTGACTCGTGTCGCTCAAGAATTAATGATCAAATGCACGTAAAATACCATTATGATAAGAAACAAAACATCTTAAACTCTCAGCATTGCATGTGCATCAACCTAACTCTCCTATATATTGATGCATGGAGCTCAGATGTAATCCAGGGCAATCAGGAAAGAGCAGGAAACAGCTTCTCGGGCATAATTACCTGGGATTATTTTCATATTTACTGTTCATAATAAAGGTACGAAATTGTTGTCAGGTGAATTAAATACGAAATGGTCATGAAATATCCGGGAAAACATTTTCAACTCTTGCTCTACCCAAACTAAGTATAAACATTGCATTTTGTCAAATTACCCACTAGTTATAACATCTGTACGCGTAAGTATAACCAAAGACAAAAAAATCTAATTACATATATATTACGAACACGCCTTCGTTCTTATCTTACAACCTGAAGATGAGCCACAATAATACAGTCGACCTACCTTGAGGATTCAACACCACAAAGTTTACGGACACGTCTCAATATAATGTGACAAGATCCAGTTGCAAGATATACCGTCACAAGATATGCCCCGTGATATGCCAGGGTCCACCAGGTTAAGCGTTGATATATTTTAGTAAGCTCCTTTCAGGGATTTTATTATCTCTACATAGTCTATTATAATGTGGTTGAATAAACCGAGCGGTGTTAATGAGTTTTCAATAACTTATATCTTGCGGCGGCGCATTTTATGGCAAGAACAAGTTTAAGAACTCATTTTTATTTTCAGTATAGTTGTATATGTATTTCTTTTTCGGTTTTAACTTAATTAATGAGGATAAAGGGATTATACATGGACATGTGCGTGTGCATCATCATCATCATCATAATGCTGCTGCTGATGATGATAATAATAATCATCATCATCATAATCATAATGACAATCTGTGAAGCATGTCAATACTCACGAAGAAAACAAGGCATTCCACAGTTTTCGTGAACATCCCAAGGATGTGGGACAATATCTCAATGTCAGTGTTGATTTTGTTAATGTTTCTGTACTGCTGGACGGTACAGAAATGAGTGTCAACCAAGCGAAGTGCCATATCAAGTCGGCCCAGACTCAGTTTTTCAGTTTGTGTTGAGAAGATCAGCAGCCCTACAGAGTCCTTCGCTTGGATGAGGTCGGCTGGCCTGAAAAGTGAAACAGAAGGCTTTCTGTTTGCTGCTCAGGACCAGTCACTTCCCACCCGAAACCGTCAATGTGTGAATATGAATTGTAGATTATGTAATGAATTTAATGAGACTGTCCAACACATTGTCAGTGGATGCCCAGCCTTGGCACAGACACAGTATCTTAAGCGACATGATGGACAGTCCATCCACGGTACGACCCGGAATATGTAGAGGGCGTCGTGGAAAAATGATATATACAAAATTCTTTGGAATAGGCCCGTATACAGCCTCAGACGTATCCGGGCCAACAAACCTGATCTTGTCCCTTTTGATAAATCTAATGCTATCATACATATTATTGAATTTTGTCTCTTTTGACACTAATGTGATTGACAAGATTCAGGAAAAAACATGGCAAATATGCAGACCTCGCTTTTGAAATGTCACGCTTGCATCCAAAGTTCCAAGTTGTCCGACTCCCGATTGTTCTCGGTGCCTTAGGTATGGTAACTCCCAATCTGTTGACTGACATTGGGAGAGTACCCGGGTTTACTACCAGGAATACAGATCTTCTGATAATCTGGGTAATGCGGAAGGCTGCAGTGTTGGGGAGTCTTCACATTCTCCGAAAAGTTCTGGGTGGTTTTGACTAGGTTGCGTTTCCTTGGAGAAGTCCCATTCGCTGTCTGGGCTGCAACTGACTAGAGGGGGCAAGGGCTGATGATGGCAGACAATAGATCCCACCACCCTCGTTCTTCCCTCAATCGCTTATATTTACCAATCATAATGGGAGGGCGTGGTTTGATTAATGTTGGGTCTCTTCATGATAGAATTGTTTTGTGCACTTTTGCACACAATTATTTGCCTAATGATCCTCTTGTGAAGCATGTCAAGACTCGCGAAGAAAACAAGGCATTCCACAGTTTTCGTAAACGAGCCAAGGATGTGGGACAATATCTCAATGTCAGTGTTGATATGGTTTATGGTTCTGTACTGCTGGATGGTACAGAAATGAGTGTCAACCAAGCGAAGTGCCATATCAAATCTGCCCAGACTGTTTTTCAAAGAGAGGCTATCTGAACGACTACTGCATCGAGTTTGCCTGGGTAACGCTTCCTGGGAGAAGTCTGGGCTGCGTGTAGAGGGGGCAAGGGCCCTGAGCTGATGATGAGCCTAACCAGCCTGACGGTGCCAGGATCACCCAAGCCCTCTTTGCAGCATTTTTTATTTTAATCCGTACATATTAATAATGGCTTTGTATAGCACCCACGCTGGGGCTGTGCCTGTAATTCCTAAATGATGTCCATGCCTTTGTAGCAATATACCATGGTCGATGGTTTCGAAAGCAGCTGACAGATCTAGCAGAACTAGAAAAACAATCTCCTGTCTGTCCATGGACGTGAGAATATCGTTCTGTGCTCTTAAGAGAGCAGTTTCGGTGCTTTGGTTAGACTTGTAGGCAGATTGGAACACTTCGCCCAGGTTATGATGGTTAATGTGTTGCTGGAGTCGTGGCAACATTATCTTCTCAAGAATTTTCCAGAGAAATGGGAGATTTGAGATGGACCTGTAGATGGAGATGATGGTTTCGTCAAGGGACGGCTTTTTCGGGAGTGATGTTATAATCAATTACATGTACTTACTTAACAGATACACCAGGAAATGAATCTAAATGAGCGCCATCGAAAGATTGGTCAAAAACAAGTGCATCTGCCGTTTCAGGGTTGCTTGGTGATATGAGCGAGTGAGTTTGGTTTTACGCCACAATATCACGGCGGGGGACACCAGAAATGGGCTTCACACATTGTACCCATGTCGGGATTCGAACCTGGGTCTTCGGCGTGACGAGCGAACGCTTTAACCACTAGGCTACCCGACCGCCCCTTGCTGATATGATAGCTCTGAGACTCTTGACTTTGTGTATGAAGAACCGTGCCAGCGAGTCAGCCTGATGTTTGGACTCTTTGGTTTTCATAGCTCAAAGATCAATCAGACGTTTTGTGATTTGCATAAGTTGTCAAGTGTTGTTTTTATTTTCCGAGATTGTGCTCGTAATTTGATTCAATTTTGCAGCCTTCATGAGTATGTCGGTCTGATTTCTCCATTTTTGAAAATTCTGTCTGTGAACTTCTTGAAGCCTCTTGTATTTCCTTTGTCATACAAATGGAGTTGGATCTAATGATGAGTGTGTGCATATGTATAAAATACATGACATCAATACAACAACAAAACTCAGTCCATGTATTCATACCTAATTTACTACAAGTTATGTACATTTTTACAACACTGAAAATGTCAATAAATGTCCAGATACAAAAGAACATGACCAAGTTATGGCAGAGTAAAAGATTAGCACAAGAGTAGAAATACCCATATGACCCTCAGGTACTTCATGACATACAACTAGGCTTATAAACACACTTCCTGAATTAGTGATCATATTAAGGTAAGAAAATATTGATGAAACATTTCATGAGACTTTTGAAGGGACAAAATCAGTGAAAAGAGTTGAAGTTTGAGAGTCAAGCTAAGAATACTACAACTAGTGAACACTGACTGGGTAATGGCACAAATGTACAGACTATTTTATTTTTGAACAAGCTTACCAGCAAGCACTTTGTTTCTTAAAATCACTGAACCAAGATTCATGATGTTGTGATACTCTTGTCATCATTCCTTTACTAGTTTCATTCAAAATGACCTGATGGCCACAATATACTACGCACCATGTTGAAGGGCATCCTAATAACTTTGAAACAAGAGTATGGCATGACATGGCATCTTCAATGAACAAATCATATTTGAGTCATGGGATTCTAAACCTCACAATCTGATACAGAAGCACCCATGCTCTCTTCAGCTACTACCAACACCAAAGTGACATCTATAATTATACAAAGTATACTCACCATACTCACCAACAAAAGAAATGCAAATACCATACATGTTGGTTAATATATGAAGACTTATTCATGTTCAAGAGATATAAGATTGGTTTGATGCACAAACGAACATACTGGTATGTTGTGTGAACTGACACTCATGACATCATAGATCCATGACATGAGATGCACCATTTATCTCGTGCAGGATAAGCGTGTAAAGGTTGGAAATCACGCACAGCATATCGTGATAAGAATATAGACACTCTGTGATAACACTCATTACATGGTACACGTGAGAAACTTTCCTTCTTAACGTACATACTTCTTCATATGTTTCTATAGTTCATGTTTCTTTTGGCAGTGAGTATATTACATGTAAAGGGCTGCAGGATTAATACACAATCACATGACTGCTGACACAACATATTTACAAAACAGCTAGATAAACATAAAAAATGTATTGTTTTATGTACAATAACTTTGCCAATACTTATATATATATTTTGTAAAAAATCAGTTTCACCACAGTTGAGTCCCTTCAATGACGAATGAACTAAGCACATTGCACTGAGTCATCAGTATCTGCACAAGCCGGTCAATGTTCATTGTGTATAGATTCACTCTGTATAATCATCTTCATGTGTTATTGACATGACATGAGTGAGTGAGTTGGGTTTAACGTCGCTTTTAACAGTATTCCAGTTATATCACAGCGTGTCAGCTTAATGTGGGAGGAAAGCCCGAAGTGATGCAGGTCCCAGACGTTTACCACTTCGGTCTATCCCACGAGCACGGGTATGGTGCTGACAAACCTAGAAACAATCGGGGCAAACCGGGATTCGAGCCCACAATCAAAGACGACTTTATCTTAAAACCAGATCATCATCTGAGTATTTACAATGTCTGTGTGACACCACACCCCTTGTTATAGCGTGAATAATCGCGATAACCATGGCCGTCCGAAAACATATGATGTCCGAAATCCTACGATCAGACGATACTCCTGTACACCCTGCCATAGACGCACATGACTCATAATACATATTCAAGGCTCCAAGCTCCAACACATTCAGCTCACGGTAAAGTCCTGTTCCATATGGTCCTCCTTCAGTATATACCCCATGCCCCCTGTAAATACCCCTCACCATAAGCTTGTTGCAAGGACCTCCACACAATCCTCCACAACAAACTGTCATACCGTATTCGACGTAATAAGCGCCCCGCTCTAATAAGCGCCCACAGTGATATTTGGTAATATATTGGCCAGTGAACAATCCAAATTAGCACCCCTTCCGATAGATCAGTGTACACAACACTTATTTATTCACATATAATACGAACTCGTTTGTTATATGCACCCTAATTATGGGCAATTAAATTCCGAAAATATGTATCTCTCGTATATATATATAAACATTTCAGGCTGTCAGTATAAACCACGAAATTTATCTTTCGACTATGTTTTTTTTCCACCAAAATAATAGTCTAATAAGAGCCCCCTATTTCTAATTTTGAGAGTGCCCTGGGCGCTTATTATGTCAAATACGGTAATAGAAAAAAAACTAAACTTACGATCACACCAGGTGACCACTTAATTGGAAATGTTTGTTTGATTGAAATGTTATGATCACACTCGTATTGTTGAACCCGTCTTCATCAGCGTCACACTGGAAGCGTGGAGTGGGTTCGTGGGGAACACTTTGATAGGCATGTCCCACACCATCGTCTCAACGTTCATAGTCGGAGGACCTCGCCATGTGGAGCCGTCGTCAGTCTTCGCCATCTCCACCTCCTCAACCGGGTCACACGATGTCACAAACTCGAAGTGTAATCTCCATCGCAGACACACTGGCACACAGAGACAGATCATGGATTATTTGTTTTAGCAAGTTGGACAAGCGTTTATTGTATCAGTATTCATTATCATTTGAATAACACAAATTTCTTATTATTTGAATAACAAACATTGTTGACAATGGTTTACAAAACAACCATCAACAACTTAGTTGTTATTCAAAATTAAAGATACACTAAAACCTCAATCATTGCAATACATACTTTTGAATCTGAAATCGATTTATCATCCTTCTAAGTTACTACAGCAATGCTAGAATGTTCTATATCATTACTTTGTGAAACACATGAATGGATGTGTTGCTGATCATAATCATAACTAATATCGGAATTGATCCCAATAACAGCAAAATCCTGGTCCAACAAAGGGACACAACTCTGCACAGTGAATTGCTGCATCTTGGTCCACTGAACCACACATATTCCCCAATTCCTCTGGATCACCCGTATTCCCCATGTCAGCTGGACCACCCATATTTCCCCGGTCCACTGGACCACCATATTCCCCAAGTCCACTGGACCACCGTATTCTCAAAATCTACCCGTATTCCTCAAGTCCACTGGACCACCTGTATTCCCCAAGACAACTGGACCATCCGTATTCCTCGAGTCCACTTGACCACCTGTATTCCCCAAGTCAACTGGACCACCCATATTCCCCAAGTCCACTGTACCACCTGTATTCCCCAGGTCAGCTGGACCACCTGTATTTCCCAAGTCCACAAGACCACCATATTCCCCAAGTCCACCCGTATTCCCCAAGCGAACTGAACCACCTGTATTCCCCAAGTCCACCTGTATTCCCCAAGTCAACTGGACCAACCATATTTCCCAAGAAAAAGACTGCTGCCATAATGTAATCTGTATGATTGCACCTGCATCTCACCTATATCTGTTATGAACCCTGGCGATGCTGTGAGAGGAAGTGGAATTGTGATATTTGTTCTGAGTGTGTGGAGACACATCTCCTGGTGCTTGACATAAGATGTAATGGCTGTCCCTTGGCTGGGTTTCCTGCGACACTCCTCTGCAATTTGTTCCTCACTCTGGAGTGTGACCGAGTACTACAAGAAGAGATCAACCATTGTTTCTACAATTTATTACATGACTCGGTAAGTGATGTGGTTCTGACTACCAAACAACCTAACTCGAAGGTATCCGAAATCACCCATTGTTTCTCAGTGGTATCCACTGGTCAAAACAAAGTAGAGAGATATGATAAACACAATGATGTATCAGCAGTATCTCAGGGGGCAAATATTGCTCATGCTTAAGGATTAACTAAAGATGCTATAATCAAGGTTGATCACAATTTGTAGTCACATATTCTCTTCCAACTAATTATGTTTGGCTTAGCACCCCCTCAACGACATTTTGGCCTTTCAAAGTTTGATGTGTCAGCTGAGAGTGTTTCAGTCCATACAGCCTGGTGCTAACTGATTTATACCACAGGGATTGACGCAAAACTGAGAACCAAAGCTCACTCCCCTCTCATCCAAATCGAATTGTCTGACCTCCAAGCAGTGCTAGGAATAATGGATATAACACATCCTACTGGTTTAAAGGACAAATAAGCTGGAATGAATAAACTGGAAAGCAGATAAATCAAGCTGGGCTACTAAAATACACAAGTAATATGTTCACACCAATCAGCTCTATACAACCATTAGAGCTAATGTCTATCATCACAATTACAGAGCAAGTGACAAACGAGGTCTTAGCTCACCTGCACACAGGGAACTGTGCCATCAGAGAAGTCGAATATCCCCACTATGTCCTCCCCTAGTTTGTAGGCTTGCTTGAACAACAGAAACTTGGCCACACGTCCCCTCGCATTGGTAATGTTGTAGGAATCTGGAAGACAAGCACCGGGGGTAGTACATCTGATCCTGCTGTCAATGCATTGGGAATGGCTATGTGCTGACTGCTGATGGCTTTACATTTGTGACAAGTTAAACTAGCTATAGTTGACTTTGGTACCATGTCTTAATATACACTGTTATGACATATAACAGGTACAACAGTGAAAAACACACATAACATCACAACTCATAGTTCACACATTATCATTTACTATCAGAACACATTCACAAGTTTACATCTACTGCAGGTTGTAACACTACTTCCATAAATCTCCCACTTTCCCTCCAGTAATCTACTGATCCAAGGAAATGGAAGCTGTGTGAAACTAGTGTTCAGGTTTAACACCGCTTTTAACAGTATTCAAGTTTCAGCTTACTTTGGAATGAAAGCCCAAAGTGATGCAGGTCTCAGACGTTAACCACTTTGGTGAAAGCCATGAGCATGGGTATGGTGCAGACAAACCTAAAAACATTATTGGAGTGAATCGGGATTCAAACCAACAGTCATAATTTTCTGGCCTGCCCAATTGCCCAAGGGAGGCAACTCTGCACAGTTAATGTGCCCTGTGTTGAGTTAGATATGTCGAATACAGCTGGGAAATAAGAACTGTGGGAAGGTAAAGATGCTCACAAACTATAGTTTTTGTATGAACACATTAATTATTAACTTATAACATTAGGGTAATGAAATGGACCTCATTACTCTCAGTGTAATTTTTTAACACTACAATTTAGTTAGTTCGTACAACAAGCAATGGACTGTGGGGGTCCAAACATAGCCTGGTTCTACAAAGAGTGTACATCTCAAGGAGCAACATGTGTCTTCCGTGCTGACATACTACAAGTTTGAGTCTATTGCTCCTTCCCCTACAGCCGCGAATAGCTGACAATTGCTGATGTGGTGTAAAACACGATTCATTAATTCATTCCCCTACTGTGGCCTGCACTGCTACATACGTGGGGCTTTCCTTGCTGTGACGGTTGAAAGGACCTGCAGTGCGATGTCCAGTACAGAGTTCTCCTTCTGTTGGTTGTTGAGGAAGGGGTTACTCGGTGCATACTCTTCAGACTCATTATATACGCTGATGTCATTTAAACCTGCAATAAACACCAATATTTACCTCTGACAATAAACCCAGGAACAAACCAACATCTTCCCAAGGCACTGGTTTCTGGATCAATCACACTGCTGTAGGAAGCACATAAGATGTTCCCCAATTTTGAGATCTTTACACCTCTTGTTTCTGACTTTGGCATATGTGTTGATTTATCTATTATTTTATCTTAAATTCTGGCAAAAATATATAGAAACTTTATCATGTTTATATCTAAAAAAACATTTGAAGAAGAAAAATTGTGAAAAACTAAGATTTGTATTTCCTCTGAAATTTAAAGTTGGAATACATCCAAGGATGGCAACACATGTCATTTCATGCCTTGAGTCTGTATATTCAGCCCTACTCACCATAGAGAACCATCACTCTGAAGGGGATTCTCAACATCTTGGTCACGTTCTCCAGGCGCTGTGTCCCAATGATCACCTTGTACGAGTATTTCACCGCCTGTCCGCGGAATGATGGAGGTGCATCGGTGGGAATGGCATCTTGGAAAGTGACTGAAATTGAATAACGAACCCATGCACTTGAACATCCATAGTACTTTTCACAATGGTGTCAAGGTATTTATGTTTCAGTGACGCTAATAATACGACTCAAAAGAAGTTAAAGAATGCTTGATTTGTTCATATGACTATAGTTAATCTGTCTTGGCTGATGGGTATTGCAACATACAGGCTTCCAATCGTAGATGTTCTTTAACTTGTTTAAGTAGTATATATCACGTAGGAATGTTTCTGGGCATTTTCAGTGGATGTTACAGAGACCCAAATTTAAGACAAATGTCAGAAATAAGGCAAAATGAATGTAAATTGACCAGTTCCGGTCATCATAACCCTAAATGATGTTGTAGCCTTGCAGCCAAAGTGTACTTCACAAACAACAGGTCCAAACAGAGAAAAGGGCTTTCATTGTCCTACAATATTTCATTGAAGGCAATGTCAAAATATCTCTCAATTCTTAGGAAAATCCCAATAATCCCAAATGGACCAAATAATGTATTATCAAGCTTTGTCCATGTTGTCTGGCAAAGACAGAGACTGAAACCATAGGTACATCCCTGCTCATACATTCTGATGTTAATATTACTTGAAAATGGAGCATTGCACAGCAGTGAGTTACCAAGGCTAGTGTTGCTATGAGGCACTGTCACTGACAGCCATTGACAACACTGTTCAATGTGGTATCAAACCCAGCCCTGTACATGGCAAGGGAAAGAACCCACTTACTGGGCTTACCGACTACCCCTGATATCAAGGAAGGTAAGTTTGGCTCTAAGTGTGTCATCATCCCCGGATAGTGTGGCTCATTGCTCATAATCACTGGATTGTCTTGTCCAGGCCTAATTATTGACAGCCTTCCTTCATACAGTTGGTATAGTGCTTAACGTACTGGTAGTTGTTTGTTGTTTAACGCAACATTCAGCACTGTATCAACTATATGATGGAAAGCTGTCAATGATCCGTCCTGGACAAGACAATCCAGTAATGATGGGCAACAATCCACACTGTCCGGGTATAATGACACAGTATGCGCCAAGTCACTAAACCGTGCCATCCAATCCATTTAGTAGTGGACCCCCACGGGGGTTGAAGATGAAGGAACTACCATAAACACAAGTAGCTCTACTCACATGACTTGGATTCTCCTCGCTGCAGTCTCAGGTCACAAAAGAGAATCTTTGGTTTCGTTGATAAAACTGTCAGCCCTCTTTCTCCTGTCACATGGAAACAATATTAGTGACCTCATATCCCTGGCCATTCATCCTATGAAAGGCTCTTCCGACCATGTCTACATACCTTTACTATTAAATATACACATTATTTAAGTTGACGAGCATGACCAAGGGATTTTCAATCTAAATATTTCTCAAAGCTGATATTATTATAGCTCCATTTATGATTGCTACCGAAACCAGAATGGAAAATGAGCCAGAATTATGACTGCAAAATGATCATTCCTTAGGTCAAAAAAGGGGAAATAGTTGTGTTTCAGGTAACCTGACTAACACATTGTTTCACTTACAACCCAAACGTTTTTATCTCAGCTGGAAGCAGCCATCACAAAACCCACATATAGAACAATGGGGGAAAAGGATGCGTCTACATATCATCATTGCTGTAGCTATATTGACCAACAAATTTGGAATATTGCAACCAACATGAGTTCTACACAAGCCGTATGTGTTAAGCATAAAAGAAATATACAGACTCGATCCTACCTACCGACCCACATCTGATGAGTCCATGTTACCTGAAACACTGGTATTTGTGTGTTCGGCCTAACGCAAACAGGTGCTGACCTTTAGTTGGCACAAATGACGTATCACATCCTGTGGTTGAAGCGTCCTCGGTGGACAGGTTCTGTGCTCGGGGGAGGAGGATCCGCGACTCACTCACTGTACACTGACAGATGATCTGGACACTTGCCCACGCCAGACTGCTCACATCACTGGAACAAGCAGTAGCCAATACACACCCTTCATCATCCTCGTCTTCATAAGGATGCAAGGGTGATATAATATAATAATAATAACCTATTTATATCGCGGATATTTCCACACCATTAATGTGCATGCTCAAAGCGCTATTATTACCCCGGTCACTAGATCAATGTGCACTCAACAATCATTCTCATCTCCCTGGGGAGTATGCAACCAAAGCTGCCTGTTAGGCGCTAGAAGGCTAATAACCACATTACCATCTTATCCTACGGGGTACCCATTCACAGCCAGGTGAACAGAGGCACATTTTGAACAAAGTCACTTGCCAAGGAGACACCACATGTGTAACATGTGCTTCAGTGAAGCCCTAGAAACTCACAGGAATCAAGCTGCCGAAATGCGGTCACTGATCCAAGGACTCTCCGCGACCGACATTGCTTAGCATCACCTGATTTGTGACCTGTGCGCTGTGCATAACACCACATGCCACCACGTTAGGGCTGGGAATGGTAACTCGGGTACTCGGGTCGGGTGCGTCCTGAGTAGGACCAGGGTAACGCAAAGGACTACTGGTTAGTCACATGATATATTGTTTAATGACAATAACTCACTATACTCAATGGTTATACTATATGTTGTTAATGTTCGCATTTCTTTCTGTCGATGCAAACATTCCTTTTGTGCCACACTTTTATATGTTTGAGTATAGATAAAGCTTCAGTCAACTTAAGTGTACCCATGATCTGAATGTTTGATACATGTATCTAAATAATCTTGGCCACGGCTGCAGTAAAACAATTCCCAATCAGGCATTCTGTTCCCAACTCTTGAGACCTGTAGTGGGTACACAGGTAGGGTCGGGTAATAGGGGGTCAGGTACCCGGGTAGTAACTTCAGACTCATCCCAGCCCTACACCGCGTCATGTGTATGTTTGACACATAACATGAAAACTTGACGCTTGACGTCATACTATGGTGTTTTTCAGTTTGGTTTTGGTATCTGCCCAAAATTTCACAAGGTGGAAAAAAATGTAACTTTGAAAAGTATTTTCTTGCTGTTGAATCTGTCAGCTAATTTCAATAATCAAAAACTCTCAAAGTTGGTGTAATAAAGTGTAAGAAGCAACCAACTGACATTTCATAATAAAATCTTTTCTCTTTTTCTCTGTTTGATTTCACAAAACCAACAATAAATGATAGATATAAAATCATGGTAATGAACTGACAAGAAAACTTATACCCAGTACCTTATTATTTTTTAACTTAAGAAATTAGTTTGCTGGGGTAGCCTAGTGGTTATCCCAGGATGCAGAGTTATTTTTCTGATTCTTTACAACCTCTGCAAAGTTAGGAATTGATGTTGCGCAGCACAAACTTGATTTGTAAAACAGAATTTCATGCAATCTTATTAAAATCAGATGTAAGTTCTCGTTGCCGCTAAACAAAGATCTGAGGACATCTCATTACGGGTCAAGTCAGAACAACCTTTCGCGAACTTTGACCGACCACTGAAACAAATAACAAGAAGTTGATATCAGCTATTGAGAAAGCAGCTTTCTCAAGTTTTACAGCACTCGTTTCAACCTGGCGACTTCCATTTCTGACTACGCTTAAAATATCGACCTTTAGTTCTCTATTAAAATTTTGAAAAGTGAACAAACTAACATACCGGAATGTCTAATATATTTTTGAGATTGTATGGCAGTGCCTCACACGTACTGTGCATTACCTTATCTGTTCAAATGTTTATCCCATGGAAGCGAGAGACAGACGATAATTTTGACGGAATCATTCGTACAGGAGGCAACTGGTGTTTGGAATACCCTGGTTTAACGTTTTCAAGGTAGCATGATTAGAAAACACATTCCGACTGTCACTTTCATGATCTGGTAAGTGACACTTTGATTGGTCGGATGAAAGGTTGTTCTGACGTGACCCGTAATGGGATGTCCTCAGATCTTTGTTTAACGATATCAAGAACTAAGATCTGATTTTAATGATTGGAATTTCATGCTTTTAAAATTATCTGTTTTCACTTGTTCATGGCAGGATTGATTAACTCTAAGTAATGTGACAGAATTGGGTCGTTAATAACTTCTTTAAAGTAGTTTATTGAAGTAGTATTGCAAAATAAGGCATGTCAATGAGCATAAAGTTGATATATTCTATTGCAAGAGCTTTGTTATTCAAAAAGACTTATTCCTTGATAAATCAAAAATTAACTCACGGTTCATTCTCTGATCTTGATCCAATATTTGTGAAGTAGATTTCACATTGAATTGTCTCCCCTGCTAAGAACACGGGACCCCTTGGGAGGCTCGCGCTCACCTCAATCATTCTGAAATAAGAACAAGAGTATCTGAGGAACAGAAGCTCACCTTAATTCAGTAATTGGGTATACAAAATTTGAGGGGTGAGGAAAACTTTTGCTAAATTGTCTATTTTGCAAAAAAAAACATGCTACCAAACACTTTGATACAACAGGTTTCTGTCATTTTCATGTTCTCTGAACATTTTGTGACACTTTTTAGTGATCATTTCTTTGTCTATGTTGACACGACAATAATGGCCACATAGTCACATTTCACCATCACATTTCGGTCTGTGACTTTAGGCTCTACTCCTAGTCTATTTCCTCATGGTCTTTTAAGAACAGCCGGTGCTAGTTAAGGTACTAAGTTTATAATAGCTGACAATAAAGCCAAAATTCAAGTTCAGGCAAGCAGACCCCATAGCTTACCTACAAAACAGGTTTCTCTGAATATTATCGCCGACTTATAGGAATATGAAAAATTGATGACAATCAGTTCTAGCTTACATAAAGATCACTATTAAGCTGCAAACAAAACATCCACCGTTTGATGGATAACTCATTTCGTATTTGCTATGTTTGCTGCAGTTTCGGATTCAGCTTAATAATTTCAGAGTTGGCATTACAGCAATTAAGTAGTTTTGTGACATGTATGTAGTTTGCACAAATGCTTGCCTTGAACGTCGAAGATATTAGGGTGTCTTGATGCAAACACTTCAAGTACAAATAATAAACATTACATGACATGAGTCACGGTATGATTCTTATTGCGACACTTAAATTGTGAGAAGCTGAGGATGGAGAGAGGGAATAGAAAGGAATATGACGCGCATTTGGGGAAGGGCAGGTGTGTGTGAAACATGTGAATGCAGGTACACAATCAGCATCCATCTCCATAAGAACAATATTGTGCAAGGGATTAGTAGCTAGCAACAAAATGTTGGATAGTAAATGTGTTCAGAGTAGTACACTGCTAGAATTTCTCTGCTAATGCATATATTGCCCATCAGGCTGGGGATTAGCTGTCAATCACTGGTTTGTCTGGTCCAGATTTGATTATTTACATAACGCCATTATATAGCTGGAATATTGCTGAGTGCAGCGTTAAACAACATGAAACAAACAACAGCAAACATTAGCTTCAACTTAACGATTAACATAGTTGTTTTAGATCAGTGATTTTGTTTTTGCATTTATTTATTTTGGGAGGACACTAGCCGAGAGCCGCAATGTAGGGTCATGTCTTGATTGTAGAACCCCATTGCGTCTCTCGAGATATGACACTACATCGTGATGTCGGGTCATGTCTTGACTGTAGGACCCCATTGCGTCTCTCGAGACATGACACTGACTACATCATGATGTCAGGTCATGTCTTGACTGTAGGACCGTCTAGGACACTTGCCTATCACGATCTGTTTTACACACTGTCGGAGTTTCAAGCCACTGATCATTCCAGTCAAAATAGGGAGATGAATGTTATTTTTAGATTTTAAATAGTTTATCAGAATAATCAGTATCTAATAAGTACCATAGTTAATGTACATGATGGATAGCATCCATGTAGATGTTCTGGCTTAGGAAGCCGAAGTTTGAACTAAGATTTATCAATATTCCACAATCATTGTCGAGTGACCATCAAAATAACGCCTTTGTTGGTGATATAATATTTATGCCACACATATTAAATATTATGGGATAGAGAAATGCATTGTACAACCTTGTGTCAAATATTCATACACACATCTGTCAAAGTTTTCCCAGATCTTTCCACGACAAAAGCTGTCTGCCTGTGTTGTGTGCTAAACGTCACCACTTCTAGGTGTCGTAACATGGTTTGTTGATTCAAAAATACGTTTTGAAACATTTAGATTAGATGTTCTATGGGATTCTAGATAGCCTACTATCGTTTTCATTCACAAGATATCTATGTTAAAAGACATAACAGAACATTAATATCACTATGCATCATTTTACGACATAGTTTGATTTACGATACACGAAGACATCACATTAGAAAACTAAATACATGTTATTCGAAGGTGATAAATGAAAAGAAAAGCTTTACATTATAAAAATAGATCTGAAATATATTTCTCATTTTGTATAAAGTTACTGTGTATTTATATAATATACACACTAGAATTGAACTGTAAACAGAGAAAGAAAATATCATATTTACATATTTAATCGATTGTTGTACAGAAAATAGTTTCTTGGAACCGGTCGAGAAGAAGGATTCTTGGGACGTCAACAAAGCTGGAATAACGTTGGTGTCAAACGTGTGCTTCCTTATACTGTTTGTTCTAAAGAGAAAAGCTTTCGATGTCGTTTGTGGGCCCAGATCAGAGTCCAACTACACCTCAGGAACATATTGATGGTGTGCCAGATTTTGGATGGCGTGTACCACTAGATCGTCCAAATCCAGCGAAATGCAATCCCTTCACGACTCCCCGACTGAAGCACATTCCAAGTTTTGTGGGACTCAGTTTGAGGTAAATCATCCTTATCAACGTTTGTTTCTAAGTAGAACATTCGTCGCTTAGCGTCCGACGCCCAATGTATGAGACTTCGGAACGTACTTGGGCGGTGGGGTAGCCTTTTGGTTAAAGCGTTCGTTCGTCACGCCGAAGACCCGGGTTCGATTCCCCACATAGGTGAAGCATGTGTAAAGCACATTTCTGGTGTCCCCCGCCGTGATTTTGCTGGAATATTGCTAAAAGTGCCGTAAAACCATACTCACTTTGAACATACTGTTTCTATCACAAAACATTTGCTCACAGTGAACACCATAGTTGACTTCATGTCATTGTTAATGTAGTGATCGTAGGTTTCCGGAGGTCTTCGGAAAGGTTCGAGTTGGTCGTCCCATGGCTGACCACGGGAGACCCCGAGATTCATGTGTGTTGTCAGCCATCGTTGTAAGTAAACCAGGTCGAGTACCCAGCTCAATGCAGTATTGACTTATATACTGACTTGACGAACTGACAGTCCTTGTAGGTGAGTAGAAAACAAGGTTTGTGAACATGGTGAAACCCGAGACATCGTTTTCACAACATTAACAAATTATGCCAACATGGTAATGAACTGACACGAAAAGTTCTATTTAGTTCCTTGTTATTTTTTATACTTGAATATAGATGAGCTTGGTGGGGTACCCTTGTGGTTATCCAATGATGCTGTCATTTTTCTGCTGTTTCGCTGCACGGACTTTATTTGAAAAACATGTAGTTCATGTATTATAAAACTACCATGTAAATAATTATTAAAATTGAATTGTTTCTATCTTCCAATGTCTGTGTATGTTTTTATTCTCAAGACATACACCTGCAACATGTTCTAGGCATCAATTGGAATAAATCAAATGCTTATTGTAATATTTCGAAAAGTATATATATTTTTTAATATCGGACGTGTGTATTTCATTAGCACATGGTTGTGTCTTATCAATCTTTCTTGTCTCACTATTATGATTATGCATTTATTTAAAGAATCAAACCTTCTCATATGAAATTTTTTAGATCCGCCATATTCTGTTTACTTGGCGCAGCCTATAGCACTAATTGACTCAGGGTGCCATCTGAGGCTCTTGCTTCACACATCTCGCGTGTCTCTTTGACCCTTAGCAGCGTTAGAAGTTGGCACTAGTCCTCTAGTCCTTGCCAAACTGCCCAATGGTAAAGGTATCATAAGGACTAGTAGAAATGTGTCCCTTTCAAGGGTTTTGCTATATGTTATCATTATGAGGACTAGTGGACGAAAACTGTTAGTTTCTAACCCTGCCCTTAGGGATAGTTGTGTTAGGGTATAGGTTGCCCCCAACTCGATCCTTAACCATTGGATACCCTTCCTGATCAAACATCCCTTACGATTGGGCTCCCCTTTATGCCCCTTGGGTTAGTTTTGAGTGTTGGTGTGGGTTTGCTTATCTTTTTTAACAATTACATACAATGTAATTTGAGGAGAATATGTACAATTTAGTTTTGATTTTTGTGCAGAAAATGGCTCCTGCACATGTGCAGAAAGGTAAACAAGCAGGTGCTGACCACTTGGTAAACAAGCACTGATTATTTGTGAGAGCATCCCTTGTAAAGTGTTGGCTAATTACGAAGAGAGGTTGTGTCTATTTTGTAATCCGTTAACTTTTAAGTAATGTCTATCAAACAATACGGGGGCACGGGTGGCCCAGTCGTCTAAGGCGCCGCGATTCGCTGTGCAGAGTTGCGTCCCTTGGGCACGCCAAAAACCTATGATTGTGGGTTCGAATCCCGGTTCACCCCAATTATGTTTCTAGGTTTGTCAGCACCATACCCGTGCTCATGGGTTTCACCGAAGTGGTAAACGTCTGAGACCTGCATCACTTCGGGCTTTCCTCCCACGTTAAGCTGACACGCCGCGATATAACTGGAATACTGTTAAAAGCGGCGTTAAACCCAACTCACTCACTCACTCACTATCAAACAATACAAAGTAGAAGTAATTTATGGATAACAACTTCGAAGTTTCAGTATAAATCCTTATACCGTTGTCAAGCAGGGCTAAATAATGAGCATGGTACAGAATATATATAATACAACAATTGCATACTTCAGAGAGAGTAGATGCAACAATGACAACCAAAGGATAAAACTGTAACAACATGATCGTGATGATGGACAGAGAACACATGATGAGGATGCCAATATGACAGGAAGCCAATTGAACAGGATTAAGTGTTCATAGGTGGGGTGGTTATTGCTTATGAGTTCATAGTAGGTGGATGCTAGGGCTGTTACAATTCACTCGCGTATTCGGTGAATCAAACCGTAACCATTTATGAATTGAATTTGTTATTCATGGTCATGAATATACTATCATGTATATTTACATACCCTGTACCTAAAAATATCCATAACAACATATTATATGAATAGAGTTCTTTCAACATGCTAACTGTTCAATGACAACACTTTAATAATATTTAATTTGACAGTATTGTTGTCACTGGTCATTGTCGCATTTGAGCAGATACTAGTTAGTAGTACCTGGATAAGTGCAGTATATAAATGTATAATTTATTAATAATTAAGAAACCATGTCAAATAATTTATGTTATTGTTTCACTGATTATAATAAGTAATACATAAACTGCTGACTTGTTATTTTAATTGTGAATTAATATTCGTATTCGTTACCCTATATTTGTGATATGAATCGTATTCGCCTGACAGTGTATTCGTTGCAGCCCTAGTGGATGGGATGACATAGCCTTTATCTCTGTTGATTAATGGCTTGTGGCGGCAAGTGTGAACTGCTTCTGTTAGATTTCTTTTAGTGAAGTCATGGAGGTGGAGGTTGTTGGAGATGATTTGGACGTTTTCCCAGTTGATTGTGATTAGGGCAGTTGCTGAGATGTCTGATTTGATGGTTGAAGTTCTGTGCTCTTTGATTCTGATATTGATTGGATGGGATGTTTCATCTACGTAGGATTGTCCCCAGTTACAATCGATTATGTTAACTACTCCTTTTGGTTCTTGGCATTTGGTTGTGTTTCTGCTGTTGGCTCTTAGAAGGGTTTTGAGGGAGGTGGAACAGGTGAAGTAGATGTCAATATTGGCTTGCTGTTTGAGGAAGAGGCTGATGATGTGGGAACCTTTTCCTATGAACGCAAGGGCGGAAGGGCACTGGTTCAGGTTTAGAGGTTGCAGATCTGGATGTGGGATGGAGTACAGAGGAGATGACTTTGTTGACGAGTTTGGGTGGATAATTGTTTGGGTGAGTTAAGACTTAGCGGAGGTGTTCGATCTCAGGGTGAGGGTTGAGATTATGCCAGTCTTAGTTCTGAGGGTATGGTTGGGGTTGAAGTGGATGGGATGATTGGTGTGGGTGGGTTTCTGGTAGACAATGGTTTGGATTCTGTTGGTTGGGATTCTGGAGATGAGGACATCCAGGAAGGGTAGTTGGTTATTCTTTTCTATTTCAATGGTGAACTGTACTCTGGGATGTTGTTGGTTAAGATGTTGTAGTAGCAGGGTTGGGTCTTGGTCTTGTTTAAGGATGACAAAGATTAGATTACCTCATTAGCCGAGATTAGTTTCAAGCTTGCAACTCAGGTTTGATCATCCGTGCGTCACTAATAGAAATCTGGCATAAAGTACGACCGGTTCATTGCATTAATCATTTTGTCAGTTTTAGTCAAACAATGTTTCAATAATAAGACAATGGCTTTATATTAACCCATACGTATGAAATTACCAGAATGTATGGGGGCAAATAGCTAATGTTGTATTTGATATTATCATAATTAAGGGTAACAAGAGGCATGTGCTTCAAACATGTCTTGATTTGGCCCTGTTTTCCCAAATCCAAAGTGGTTATGAATTTGTTATCAAGGCAGCTAGATGCATAGGGCTATCTGTTTTTTTCACAAACATGAAGTGATGTCATTAAACTGGAAGTGGTTGGTACTTTGTTATAAACATGATTAAGGTAGCTATAGACGTGGGAAAAATAATGTTTTTATTAGCACTAGCAAGCCGTTCTTGTTAGGATGGGCGGTCGGGTAGCCCAATGGTTAAAGCGTTCGCTCATCACTCTGAAGATCCGGGTTCGATTCCCAACATGGGTATAATGTGTGAAGCCCATTTCTGTTGTCCCCCCGCTGTGATATTGCTGGAATGTTGCTAAAAGCGGTGTAAACTCATACTCACTCACATTCTAGTTAGATACTTTTTAACTAGTCAATTTCAGATTGACATAGCCATTTGTTTTAATTCTACCAAATACAAGGAGAAATTGGTAGCAGAGGGGGGTTGAGTTTTTTTTATAAATGTGAAAGTGATGTCCTTAAACTGGAAGTGCTTGCATAGAGGCATGGAACTGTGTTGTGTTGCATTAGATGACATAAGTCACATTGATCGAATATCTTGAGAGATGGTTAATGGTGCTGGTCCTGAGTATGTGAAGACGGAATGGTTCATGAACGTGTTTCTGGGGGAAATATATTGGGGTATTCAGGGCTAGATGGGTTTGTGGCTGCTATTACCTTGCATGTAATGCAAACAGCTTTCTAATTACCATGGTTATGTGACATATAAAGGTTTACTTTTTGATCATCATGATCATGACCCTGGGTTGTCGACAGTGAACGAAGCATTCAGACTTGCATGTCTGATTTCTGCATCTCGAAAAGAAACATATAATGACCAATTCCAAATGTTATCATGGTAATAAGTAGGTTCTCGCCATTGTTGTGGATCTTTATACAACCTGTCATTTCTGAGTAAACAAACTAAGCGATATTGATTTTGAAAACTGACATCTCATTCTGACCCACGCATGCCTCATTAAGATTGGAGGGTCAAAGTTCATTTAGGGTCCACCAGGCACGACCTCCCATGGATCATCCGTTGTTCACGAAGAGATATATGTTGTCAGAGTGAAAAGTATAGATCTGATTTTAATGAGATTGCCCAAAATTTATTACCAAGTCCCCTGTCACTACCATGACTACAGTCAATCTGTAATAGGCTGGAGGTGGGGGCCGACATCAACATGTTTACTGTTGCCTCAACAGGTATTCAGTCATAATTCACTGCAGCAAAGGAGTGGTGTTCTGTGGTTAAACCACATTGGTTGTCTCCCTTGGGATTACTGACTCTATTGATTACAGTTGGTCTCAGAATTAACCGCTTCTTGTTAAATAGTTAATTAAGGACATTGTGTTCGTTTCCTTTATTGCTAGCCTGCAGTGTAGGGATGTGGCTGCAGTTGCTGAGATAGGATGGGATACTGTTGAATTGTTGATTCATTACTGTCAGACATCAGTGGTCATATTACTAATCATACTAATATGACATGTGAACAGCGAACACAATGATCAGAATTACATGATTGTCTTTTCAGACAGATCTGAAAATATTTAGAATTCTAAATCTCCAATTTGTTTTCACATACTTTCAAGTTTTGCAATTTCATAAAGAAAAACGATTGTAGGGTCCCTCCTCAAACTCTGATGTCATGCCCTGTCATGAGTTTTCTTTGTACATGGTATACAGATGGTATATGCATGAAATAGGTATCATTAACTTTCTGCATATATCTCAAATATTGTGATTCACATTCCCACAATAAAATACTGTATTATAGGTGTTTTTATGTCAAAATCTCAGTTGTAATGTTTTCACATTTCTTAGCCCACCAATTGTGAATTCCAGTTTTGGATAGATTTATAGCATGTTTAGTATATGTATTATCACAGGACATATGAAATTGTGGTCAGTTGTGTGGATAACGTTGAGAAAAGAGAATTGGAAAATATTGGTTTCATGTTTGTGTCTGTATCTCAAATCACACAACATCTCAAAAAGTTCAACAAGCATAAAATACTCATATCCCCCACAAATACCGCCATTTTCAGTCTAAGTCAAATTCGTTGCTACGGCAACTATAAATGTTTCAAAAATCCCCAATTATCAAAAGGCACCAGTCCACCACTAGACCTATCTATGTGCCAAGCTTGGTTAAGATATCTCTCATGTTTTTTTAGTTCTGCTCCGGAAAAAAACGTGGCGGACGGACAGCCCCCATTCCTATATCCCCCTTCCACTTCGTGGCAGGGGATAATAAACAGTATAATCAGTGTCAAGTCAAGCAAGCATAGCAAGAGGTCCTTGACATAACCTAATATTAAAAGTTAATGATTAGGGCCCCTAGATTCAATTACTATAGAATAACTCAAGGAAAATCTCCAGGGCCTCTACAATTTTGGCAATATTAACACAGACTTTACAAATGCAAATATTAAGAAGTGTCCCATATGCCATGTTTTAGGCACCGATGCATAGCACTCCATCACAATTCCAAAATAGATGAGGTTGATAATAACATCTGTCGACCATTATTCAGTACATCACCAGACTGAGCTGTAATACAATCTGTTAAAAACTGAAATTGAATCATCATTTGACGATATTCAATGCCATTATTTGTAATACAATTCTCTAACTACATTACTTGACAGTAGTGATGGGTTTTGGCCAGACATTCTTCTTGCAATAATGATTCATGTATTGCAATATGTACCACAATATGTCGTGTGTGTTCTTTCAACTGTAATTTGTGGTGAACCTGAATAAGAAAAGACCCATACATCATGAACATTGAATTTCCCCAGCAAATTTTTTCATCCAACATTTTGTTGGGTATTGCTATGGTCACAAAACATGTGTAATAATTATGTACAGGAATATACAGCGAATAGTTTCACTTTTTCGATCAAAGAGGCGGTGGGGTAACCTAGTGGTAAAAGCTTTCGCTAGTCATGCCGAAGACACGGGTTCAATTCCCCACATGGGTACACTGTATGAAGCTCATTTCTGGTGTCCCATGCCATGATATTGGTGGAATATTGCTAAAAGTGGCTTAAAACCATACTTACTCTCTCTCACTTTTCAATCACAGGAATTAAGTTGCTAACTTTTGAATTTCATAATTTCATTTCGACTTGTCATTTATCATGTTTATGTACACATTGCCAACATGATGAAAATTTGCGTGATTTTGAAAATGCAATAAACAGGATAAGTGCCCTTGACAATTAGGCAATTTTCAAAGGATAGCACTTAGTACAACCATACATGTGTTAACTTTGTTGAGATCAGGCGGCAGGGAAGACAATTAGTTCAAATGTCAATCAGTCTGACGCATTTTCGATAATAGATGCAAGGCAATCATTAACCCCTTCTACACTGCTAGTTTCTCTACAAAATCTGTAGTAATAATAACACAAGAAATTATGGACTGTTATGTACACTTTGGGGGGCGCTTTTGAAGATTACTTACAGATTGGTCTAATACCAGTAGTTGGTCGGGGGGCACTTAAAGGAGCACGAAGCCTAATACAGATATCGGTTTACCCATTTGAATAAATCAAAGTATGGTTGCCAGGCAACATATTTGCTACCGGTAAATTTGAAAACGGCAAATGATTGAATACCATTGAGCGTGACAAGCCATGTATATTTGTTGTGTGCAACATGAACATGATCTGTGATCATGAATAGATCATGTCAATCTTAAATTGTTATGTTTTTACTTTTTCCTTCACCAGATACATGACATACTGGATCAGCAAGAAGAGACAGGGACGTAAGATCTTCATTGATCACCTCAACCCCATCAGTCACAAGCCCATTTACGGTGAGTTGCCGTCACTAAATATTCAGGGGAGGTAACCAGCACTAGCGTGGTGAGGGGGTGAGGGTTAAGTTGGGCTTTGATGGAGCTGATGTTTTGTGGTGAGTTGCTGGGTTACTGATATGAATATTCTGGGGAGGTAACCGGCACTATAGTCAGTCAACCATCATTTTGACACCTGGATTTTCACAATTATTTTCCATTAAGTACACAATCACACGACAAAAGTTTGTTATCTAATAATAATCATTGACCTAACTGGAAATACCAGTTTTGTAATATTTCATGTCTGAAAAAAATATTTTCTTTATTGTTATCGTGTAATTTTGTGACCGTTGACATGGCCCTTTAGTGGGAGTTATGAACAGATGATTTACCGTGTCACAACAATGACGTAATCTGTGTTAAACATGCTTGCTGCATGTGACGAGAGAATGGAGTATAGTATCAGTTCGAGGGGTTCATATCTCGATATTGTGATGCACAATGGAGATGGAGGCTGTTATAAAAGTGATTTCTGCTGTTGTCATGTAAGAACCTCCTTTTGAGTCCATTACTGGTGGGTAATGGCAAGTTCAGAGTTCACAAAGTTTGCTTGTCATGTATAATGTATGACCAACCACAGAATACAGTTGCATCTATTGATGTAGAGGTGTGTTTTAGTATTGGACTGGGGAAGGATCTATACTGGCAGAGTTAATTAATTCTTCCCGACCGATCCCAAGGAGCATTGATCATCAATTATCAGTTCTAAATAAAGCATGATTGATTCTAGATATTGTGTGTGCTTTTGAGTACTTTCAGCCTAATTTATGAGACTGTCAGAGAAACTGTGTTTTGGGGGCCATCAACCATGACAAGTGTTAAGGAATAAGTGAGTGTCATATTCATGATTGAACATGACACACATATCATGAGACATCAATGGTGCCTTGTCTATTGGTAAACATGGTAACATGAAACTTGACAAGACTAAGCTGAAACAAAATAGGAAAATCAATTTTTTGCTGTGACCAGGAAATACTCTTGTAAAATATATTGGGGCTGTTGATGGAGTTCAATAATAATTTTAAGGTATTTATGTGAACATTTAGAAGTCCAGGCTCCATCCTACAAATAGTCATATGTGAAGTAGGCTAATCATGCTAATGGGAAGAGTTTTACCTTGACCTTCAAAACTTGGGGTCAAGAAGACACCAATTACTAATTCCAAGGGTCCTTCTAGGTACTGTGAAGGTCCTGTAAGCTGTTGTAATGGTGTGGTGTACTGTACTGTATTAATCAGTAATAACTTTAATTACATCAACTTGATCATTCTTGTCAAGAATTTGGTACAATGAATATTGTGCGTCCATCAGGATGCAATACATGTATTGTTTTGGACGCACATTTCTGCATCGCCTTAAACCCTGAATTGGTCTTCTGTTTTATTTTACTAATCCCCAAATCTCTGGCTATTAGAAAGTTTAGAAATGAAATAGAGATTATTAGCCAAGTATTCCTAATACAGAGCTACAGATAAGCTGCGATTTTGCGTAAAATACCTCCCCAAAATATTCAAAACCCAATTACTTTCAATTACTTGCTTACAGAAACGTATGTATTAAATGAAAAACTCAAATGTATAAAAAAGGCATGCGTAAGTAAACTTACCCAATGAAGCTTTTTCAGCAAGCGTACAACGGAGCTAATGTCTATAACACACATTATGAGCTAATTTACTTTCCAAGTCAAGCCTATATTTAGAACCGTTATATATATCTAAAACATTTCCTCTTTTTTTTAAATTCTCAAAATGTTAACACATTTTGGGAAAACCCTAAAAGAGTGATGAATAGATGAGTGAAAGAATATTGGTTCCCCAATGAAAGTGTAATAAACCAATACAAATAGAACCTTCGAGTAAAAACTCAATTGCTCAAAAAGTTATCTGGAGCTCTGCTAATATATGATAATTTCAATACAGAAATGCACTAGGGTAATATTTGCTTTATCAATATCATATAATGTCATTCTTAAAATAATTGATGTTTGTGACATATTTTTACTCTAATCGGGGGATATAGGAATGGGTGCTGTCTGTCCATCTGTCATGTTTCGTTTTTAGAGCAGAACTCAAAAACCATGAGAGATATCTTAACCAAACTTGGCACATAGATAGGTCTAGTGGTAAATTGGTGCCTATTGGTAGATTGGGATTTTTGAAAAAAATATTTTTCAAGTTTCTATAGCAACGACTTTGACTTTTGAAAATGGCAGTAGTGCTCGTATCCGGAGGGCTAATGCCTTGCACACAGCCAGACATGTCATTTTGGCAGGGGACATGAGTATTTCATGTTTGTTGTATAGTGCCAAATGATTTACTAACAAAATTGTCTACAGAATCATATGGTAATCCTTATCTAAACTTACTGGGAACGTCAGTCAGTAATTTATTGAGACAGTGCAGTGATGTTTGCCGCTTAGCATTGGGTTGTTTCTGCTTATTGACCTCATTTGCATATTTAACACATCATGATACCTTTTTAAAAGAAATATTCACACTGTACATCATGATACATGTCATGTTTGATAGTAGTTTGAGGTTAAACCTGTTTATGACTGTTATTGATCTATTTCTTAACTGTTTCTCCTAGGGTGCCCTATCGGTGGGATTGGAGGCGGTTCCATTGGTCGGGGATACAGAGGGGAGTTCTGTCGCTTCCACATGGTTCCTGGTCTCTATGACTACAATGTAGTTGATGCTGATCAGGTATGTCACTCTTGCATCATCAGCAGGAGATGTTAGTCTTGTCAGATATTACCATTTTCTCCTGTACCAAAAAGAAATAAAATAAAACAAAAACATTATCCTATACAGAAACCTCAAAAGTAAAACTGTTTGGTTTAAAAATGAAAAAAATAATTTGATTTGGGGTAATGACTTGGTGTAGTTGACAGCTAATCAGAGTGGAGCAGAGGTAACTGCCATTCTTCCTATTGATCTCTCCTCACCCGTGACGCCGGGGTAGAATAGGTCGTCAGCAACCCCTGCTTTCTGAAAGAGGCGACTAACGGGATCGGGTGTTCAGGCTTGCTGACTTGGTTGGTGCATGCCAACGTTTCCCAATTTCATAGATCGATGCCCAAGATATCAATCACTGGATTGTATGAACCAGACTTGATTATTTACAGACTGCCATCATATCTGAGTGCGGCGTTAAACAACAAACAAACAAATCATGCTCCGAAGAGTTACGTTTGTATGTGTGAGTGAGTGCAATACACCACTAGTATTGATTGCCTTACATTAGCATGAGCAATAGGAAGATAATACAATATCTGCTTGAAAGCATCCTCATGATATTTCCAAGATAATGTTGATATTGCTACAACAATTAGCTCTAGCAAGGCCACTGGGAACTGAGGAGGGTATTATGGAACATGGATTTGCTTCCTTGGTTTTACACTTTTTGTTTGAATGTACATGTATAGTGTAGTATTTAAAGCAGTTGTTGCCATGGACATTGGTTACATCAAAATGTCTCATCTCAGACAGTACAGATACAGTATTTTTTAAAAGGAAGGGTGCATTTTTATACCCCCTACCTAAAAGGGCAGGATATAGTTATACCAAGGAGTTTTGTCAGTTCATCCTTTTCCGTCCTTCCGAGGACATTTTTTTTTGTGCGACCTGTAATTTGAAAACCACTGCAAAGATTCTTTTCAAATTGGTGAACACTTTCTGTACCAATAGCATTAGGAGAGGTGCATTACGAAGTTTGATATACATTTTTGGATTTCTGAAAAGTGTACAGCTGTTTTTCATTTTTTCACTAAGAATTATTTTACTTAAACATTTGTGCGACATTTTACTCGAAACTACTGCATGGATTCTTTTCAAATTTAGGGAACAGTTTTCAGGAATAGAAGAGGTGCAGTGCAAAGTTTGATTTGGATATGTGAATTCTTTTTTTAAATATGATTTTTTTCATGTTTTTTGACTTAGAATATTTTTTTACTTCAACGTTTGTGCGACCTTTAACTTGAGAACAACTTAATGGATTCTTTTTCAATTAGGGGTATAGTTTCTTTATCAGTAGGAGAGGTGCAGTGCAAAGTTTGCTGCTGTCTGTGACATCATGGTAAAACTATGAGGTCACAAAGGTACAAAGACATATATAAATAAATGCACATTCTTCGAAATGACAATCGATCTTGGGTCAAAATATCAATCAATGTCAAGTCAAGTCAAAATATCAATCAATGTCAAGTCAAGTGTACCGTATCTGGCAAATCTTACCGATGATGCATCGATGCGTCTTTGTATTATGCCCTTACTTTGGTACTTTGTTGTGCTTATTGAGAGAAACCAGCTCTAACATTGTTCTCCAGCCAATTCTTGGAGTCGAGGTATTAGTGAGCCCTGCTCACTTTTTGCCTTGCTTTACTTGGCAATGAATGCTTGGTTTATGTGTAATTCTGATGACTATATATGGACAATGTCGACTGTGGTCTCTCTGTTCGCCTCGGCATGGGAGAGAGTCATGACCAATCTCCGGATCCTGTCCACTCAGGGTAGGCTATTTTCTGACTTGGCAACTCGTCACGATATGGCTGAAATATTGCCGATGTGACGTAAAGCATTAACTCACTCACTCACTCTGACTTGGCAAAGTCATCCACCTGCCTTTTAGGGCATTTGCTTTGCACCTATACGAGTGTACTTTGCCAAAGGGACCACTAGTTTCAGTTGGTAATAACAGTTGTTCGTTGTAAGTATATATACAGCAAATATACAGCAATTTGATGGGAACCAAAAAAACCCAGTTCATTATCTCCGTCAGTTTGTTATGTATGGTTTGTTAAAAACAGCATACTGTATCAGTCACTGAGGATAATTCTCCTCTGGGGTGTGGATGCCCCGACCCCCCTTGTACCATGTCTTGAGGAACAACCAAGGTTTGCTTTTGGATATGTACAAGAAGCTAATTGACTTGGGTGGCTGTGGCGGGTGTGTGGCATGGGGTCACATGGGGTCACATGGTATCAGTCATTGTCTGAGTAATAACTCTCTAAATGAACTCTCCCAGTTGTGAGACAGAAATGACATCACTCTGGAATGCTACAAAGTCTCCCTGGAATTTTATGGCATCATGATACAAATGCTTCCGTTATAACTTAACTCGCCTGGATAGCAGAATGTGTGACAATCCGCTAAATCCAAGTTGTTCTGATACATGATGATGAAATGTTTATATTCAGTTAGAGTGGTATCTACTGCGCCACATCAAATGGCATGTTTTTCAAATTTTGGCTTTGGGAAGAAAGAAAATACTTATCAAGAAATATATTTACGTGTGGTGAATAGTCCAGGAAATGTTCGGGCATCAAATCACATTTAATCACATTTTTCAACCAATCAGATTGCAGCAGCATGCACTCCTATATGTTTTGCAATGATGATAAGTAAAAAAGGGATTTGCACACCCTCCGTCCCCCATCTGGACCTGTACAGTAACATGGTGACACAGTGTTGACAGCATAAGGCAGCAGTTGTCATTGGCATACAGTGGCTTCACTTTCAGTGCTTGAACCTCTACAGGGTACTGATTTGGTGACCCATGAAGATCCGGGTTAGAATAAGCCCGTAAAAGGCGACTATGCATGTTGTAAGAGGCGACAAGAGGGATTGGGTGGTTAGGCTTGCTGACTTGGTTGATGCATATCATTGTATCCCAATGCGTAGATCGATGCTCATGATGTCAATCACTGGATTGTCAGGTCTAGATAATTTACAGACCACTGTCATATTCTTGGAATATTTGCTGAGTGCAGTGTTAAACAACAAACAAACAAACTGTTTTGGCTGATCATATTTAGCATTCTGACCAAATTAACTAACTTGATTAAATCTTACATAGTAAAGACAACTCACTCACTCTTGCCACGGCAGATTCTCTCTCCTTTGTTGATTGATATGGTAAGTCCATTGCAAGCTGCAGGGCTCTGGATGTACACCATTTATTTACATGGGAGAGAAAATCTTTAAATCGTTGTTCTGCCAATGACAGCCATAATGTCTGAAACAAGATGCCATTTGCAAAGCGACAATTTCTGTTTGACGCAAGTTGCCAATGAAACATCGGTAATGTCCATTTAACCAAAGTTGCCAATGACACAGCGATAATGTCTGTTTGGCACAAGTTGCCAATGACACAGCGATAATGTCTGTTTGACCCAAGTTGCCAATGACACATCAACAACGTCTGTTTGACCAAAGTTGTCAATGACACATCGATAATGTCTGTTTGACCAAAGTTGTCAATGACACATCGCTAATGTCTGTTTGACCCAAATTACCAATGACTCATCGCTAATGTCTGTTTGACCCAAGTTGCAATGACACATTGATAATGTCCGTTTGACCCAAGTTGTCAATGACATATCGCTAATGTCCGTTTGACCCAAATTACCAATGACACATCGCTAATGTCTGTTCGACCCAAGTTGCCAATAACACATCGCTAATGTCTGTTTGACCCAAATTACCAATGACACATTGCTAATGTCTGTTTGACCTAAGTTTCAATGACGCATCGATAATGTCTGTTTGACGAAAGCTGTCAATGACACATTGATAATGTCTGTTTGATCAAAGTTGTCAATGACACATCGCTAATGTCTGTTTGACCCAAGTTGCCAATGACACATCGCTAATGTCTGTTTGACTCAAGTTGTCCATTACAACATGTAGACCTAGTAACAGAATTGGGCACAGATTATGGAGCACCTGTTTCACATGAGTTGTGACTGTCCCCAGTTCACTGTGTGCATCCGCAAGAATGGCGTGACAGTGCTGCAGCAGGTGCTCGCGTCCTACAAGAAGACGGGGAAACATCTCAAGTCCTGGGACTGGAACTTCCCGGGTGCTAACGCCACCTATCACGCCCTCTACCCCCGAGCATGGACAGTGTACAGCATCCCTGAGTTCAATGTCAAGTTGGTGTGTCGACAGGTCTCGCCCGTCTACCCACATGAGTATAAGGTAAGTCAGGGACTCCCTGAGGACATGCCTAAACAGGAAATCGTTATGAATTGCAGGTTAGAATTAAACTTCTATTTTTACATGTCCAAAAACTGATGTAGAGTTGCCATATACCTAATGATGAAAGTGGTAGTCCACAAGGCAGTGTCACTAATGCCTGCATTTAACTTGTCTTGGATTAACGGACTTACATCAACTTCAAACCCTGAACTTGCACATGCTTTATAAGAATAGAAAGGAGTGTAAAAATGATATTTTTATCATGTTTATCTCCTAACCAAAAATAATTGTTAAAAAATGAACAATAGATAATGCGGATGATATTTCCAAATCATCCAACAACTTATCTTTTGTTAATGTTATAAACTGCATTTGATTAATTGATGTCAATCATTATTTCTCTTCATCAGGAGAGTTCACTACCAGCAGCAGTGTTTGTGTGGACCATCGAGAACAACAGCACCGATGACCTTGACATCAGCATCATGTTCTCATTTAAAAATGGCCGTGGTGTGAAGGAGGATAAGGAAGGAGGCTGCTGGAACGAGCCCTTTAAGTGTGACAGCGAGGGGGGCGACGTCAGCGGAGTCCTCATCCACCAGACCTTCAGGGATATGGACTGTACATACGCACTCTCGGCAGCACAAAGGGTCAGTAGCTTGGACTGCAGAGAGGGAGACTCACTGTATGGAGCTAGAACTTATTCCCTTCAAAATCTGGATTAATTAATGAACTTTAAAGATCTGTCAGTATGAGTATGGAGCTAGTTTGAGGCCTAAAGTTAGTGTTCTGGCAGCCAACTGGTGTTAGTTGGCACACTTTGTTCTGCAAAGTTGTACCCATATCTGAAAAAGAATAATGTTTATTGACATTGAAAAATGAAAAAGATATGTCATTTTCTGAAGCACTAGGGATTGACTCCGGACAGCTTCTTTCTTCACAGCATGGCGTTATTGGGCAGACTGATTCTCATCTACTCTTTCACTTGCCCCAATTTGATCTGTGTTGTCAATTATTCTATAGCCTTGATAGTTGTAATGACAGCTAAAGTCACATAATCTGCTTTCATGTTGACAATGTGTTTTTGTCTGTCAGGAGGGGGTGTCTGTGAGTCATCTGGTGAACTTTGACCCTCAAGGGACAGGAAGCGAGGTTTGGTTAGACCTCAAAGAAGATGGACAACTGACATCTTCAACAGGTACTGTTATACTGTGTTGTTTGTGGGCTTTATTTGTTCTACATGATATTTGAATGTTCATTTAATATCAGATGTGCAATGTAATATTTTTGCTGGTTTTTCTTTGCAGAAAGCAGTGAAAAGACATTGAAGGGAAAGGAGATCGCGGCTGCTGTGTGTGTGCAGTGTCATGTGGCAGCCGGCAAGTCGGCCACGGCGGAGTTCAGTCTGGTCTGGGATATGCCAGTCATACACTTTAGCTCTAGGGGACAGAAATACCATAGGTAAGTGGGAAGGTTAAAGCAGGGTTCACTCTGGTCTGGCATATGCTCATCATGCACTTTAGCTCTAGGGGACAAAAACATCACAGCAGGGTTCAGTCTGGTCTGAGATATGACGTCATCCACTTTAGCTCTAGGGGACAGAAATACCAAAGGTAAGTGGGAAGGTTAAGGCAGATTTCAGTCTGGCATACTCACTCACTCAGAAGTACATCAATCTGCATTAAGTCAGGAAACAGTATCTCTTTCTCTCTATGTATTGGGTCCCATAAACATACTCATGCTATATGACATTTGGCAAGCATACATTCACTACAACCTTGTATTGCAGACGTTATGCCCGCTGGTTCGGGACTGATGGCACCGGAGCCCAGCGGATCAGCAGTCATGCAATAGGCCAGTACCAGGCCTGGGAGAGCAAGATTGAAGAGTGGCAAAACCCAATACTCTCCAACAGGTAATACATAAAGGAGATACTCTGCAACAGGTAGCCTGTAGGTGTAGAGGAGATACTCTCCAACAGGTAATACATAAAGGAGATACTCTCCAACAGGTAGCCTGTATGTGTAGAGGAGATACTCTCCAACAGGTAATACATAAAGGAGATACTCTCCAACAGGTAGCCTGTATGTGTAGAGGAGATACTCTCCAACAGGTAATACATAAGGGAGATACTCTCAAGCAGGTAGCTTGTATGTGGAGAGGAGATACTCTCCAACAGGTAGCCTGTATGTGTAGAGGAGATACTCTCCAACAGGTAGCGTATGTGTAGAGGAGATGCTCTGCAACAGGTAGCCTGTAGGTGTAGAGGAGATACTCTCCAACAGGTAATACATAAAGGAGATACTCTCCAACAGGTAGCCTGTATGTGTAGAGGAGATACTCTCCAACAGGTAATACATAAAGGAGATACTCTCCAACAGGTAGCCTGTATGTGTAGAGGAGATACTCTCCAACAGGTAATACATAAGGGAGATACTCTCAAGCAGGTAGCTTGTATGTGGAGAGGAGATACTCTCCAACAGGTAGCCTGTATGTGTAGAGGAGATACTCTCCAACAGGTAGCGTATGTGTAGAGGAGATACTCTCCAACAGGTAGCCTGTATGTGTAGAGGAGATACTCTCCAACAGGTAACACACAGAGGAGATACTCTCCAACAGGTAGCCTGTATGTGTAGAGGAGATACTCTCCAACAGGTAGCCTGTACGTGTAGAGGAGATACTCTCCAACAGGTAGCCTGTATGTGTAGAGGAGATACTCTCCAACAGGTAGCCTGTATGTGTAGAGGAGATACTCTCCAACAGGTAGCCTGTATGTGTAGAGGAGATACTCTCCAACAGGTAGCGTATGTGTAGAGGAGATACTCTCCAACAGGTAGCCTGTATGTGTAGAGGAGATACTCTCCAACAGGTAGCTTGTATGTGTAGAGGAGATACTCTCCAACAGGTAGCCTGTATGTGTAGAGGAGATACTCTCCAACAGGTAGCCTGTATGTGTAGAGGAGATACTCTCCAACAGGTAGCTTGTATGTGTAGAGGAGATACTCTCCAACAGGTAGCCTGTATGTGTAGAGGAGATACTCTCCAACAGGTAGCCTGTATGTGTAGAGGAGATACTCTCCATAAGGTTTGTAATTATCCCTAATCTTTTGCCAGAAACCTTCCAGCCTGGTACAAGTCGGCATTGTTTAATGAGCTGTACTTTGTGAGTGATGGTGGCACGATATGGGTGGATCCAGTTGATGGAGACAGCAGCACATCCTTCTTCAAGAACGACCACGCCCTGGTGAAGGAGTACAGCAAGTTCCTGTACCTGGAAGGTGAGTGGGTCCCCCTCACAGAGCTACAACTCATTAGTCTCAGGAAGGCTTTAAGATGAAAACACCCAGCCTTTCCTTTCTAGACTGCAGGTGAAAAAAACACTGCCTACTTCATGGCAGCCTAGGGAAAGGGAAGAAAGAAATGAGTCATGCTCAGCGTCACATCAAGTCCGGGGCCCTGTTCCTCAAAGCAATCTTAACGCTAGGTCGATCGTAACTCCCATACTTTAGCAAAGACAAGCGTGACAAACCACATTCATGGCGCTAAGATTGCTTTGTGGAGCGAGGCCCAGACCCGATTGCATACACTGCATGTGGTATGATGTACTGCACACAGGAGAGAGTAGGAGGATGGTGACTGTGTTCAAATGCTTGAGTCCTGAAAGTTTCTTGGACTTCGGTCCTGCCCACACTGAAGCACATGATACATGTTGTATCTCCGTAGGCAAGTGACTTCGTTTGAAATAAGCCTTTCTCACTCAGCAGTGAATGGGTTGGGATGAGATGGTAGTGGGACTGGGAGCTTTCTAACACCTTATACAGCTGCTTATTTTGTATACTCCCGAGGAGCTGAGAATGATATTTGAGAGCACACAGTTCAGATACCAGGGCATATAAACCCGTTATCAGCAAACAGTGGCATACTGTTTCTGTTTACTGCAGATAACAAGCAAACTAGCTCCCATGTAGCATATGCAGTACTTAAATAAAACATGACATTTTCAATTGGCCTCATTTCCTTGTTTTTATGACCTTGTTAAAATATACTCACCGCCAAAAGAAGCGCAAATGCCATACATGTTGGTTAATATATGAAGAATTACTCATATTCAAGAGATATTAGATTGGTTTGATGCATGGTTTGATGCATCCTAGAGCCATGACTGGGGATGCACCATTTGTCTCGTGCAGGATTAGCATGTAAAGTTTGGAAATCACATGCAGTATATCGTGATAAGAATAAATACACTCTGTGTTAACACTTGAATGATTGTAAGTTTTATCATTAAATGGTACACATTGGAAACATATCTTCTTAACATACATACTCCTCTGTATGTTTCTATGTTTCACGTTTCTTTTGGCGTAAGTATATGATTGTGTACTGTGATCTTGGAGGGTGTATAGTGCTGTCTCTGTCTCGCAGGTCATGAATACCGGATGTTCAACACATACGACGTGCATCACTACGCCTCCTTCGCCTTCATCCAGCTGTGGCCCAAGATACAGCTGTCTCTACAGTATGACATAGGTACAGTGTGTGATGTCATTGTTGGGCCTGTGGGGAGTACGGGCTAGAGTTGTGCCCCAGCAACCTATGCTTGTCTTAACTGGGGATCATATGAATCATTGACTTGGTTGATTGCCTGATTGATCATCGCATCCTGATGGCATGGGACTTTGCTCATAATGTCAATCCCTGGTTTGTCTGTTCTACAATCAACTATTTACAGGTCACCATCATACAGGTGGAATGTTAGTGAGTGCAGCGTTAAGCAGCAAACAAAAAATTAGGGACAGTATCCTAGGGTTATCCTATTTGGGGAGAGTATCTTAGGGTTATCCTATTCAGGGAGAGTATCTTAGGGTTATCCTATTTAGGGACAGTATCCTAGGGTTATCCTATTTGGGGAGAGTATCTTAGGGTTATCCTATTCAGGGAGAGTATCTTAGGGTTATCCTATTTAGGGACAGTATCCTAGGAGTATCCTATTTATGGAGAGTATCTCAGGGTTATCCTATTCAGGGAGAGTATCCTAGGGTTATCCTATTTAGGGAGAGTATCTTAGGATTATCCTATTTATGGAGAGTATCCTAGGGTTATCCTATTTAGGGAGAGTATCTTAGGATTATCCTATTTAGGGAGAGTATCCTAGGGTTATCCTGTTTAGGGAGAGTATCCTAGGGTTATCCTGTTTAGGGAGAGCATCTTAGGATTATCCTATTTAGGGAGAGTATCTTAGGATTATCCTATTTATGGAGAGTATCCTAGGGTTATCCTGTTTAGGGAGAGTATCCTAGGAAAATCCTATTCAGGGAGAGTATCTCAGGATTATCCTATTCAGTGAGAGTATCCTAGGGTTATCCTGTTTAGGTAGAGTATCTCAGGATTATCCTATTCAGTGAGAGTATCCTAGGGTTATCCTATTCAGTGAGAGTATCCTAGGGTTATCCTATTCAGTGAGAGTATCCTAGGGTTATCCTATTCAGTGAGAGTATCTTAGGGTTATCCTATTCAGTGAGAGTATCCTAGGGTTATCCTATTCAGTGAGAGTATCCTAGGGTTATCCTATTCAGTGAGAGTATCTTAGGGTTATCCTATTTAGGGAGAGTATCAGGGCTATCCTATTTAGGGAGAATATCCTAAGGCTATCCTATTTAGGGAGAGTATGCTTGGGAGAGGCCGCAGTGTCCCCACCCAGTGTGATATGGCTTGAAAGCTGACTGGCATAAAACAACATACACTCACCCGTTAATAGAATACATTTGGTACACATGATCTATTTGAATGTATCAGTTAGATTATTTATATCATTTAACTTTTCTTCTGTCATACTAATTGCAGTGTATAAAATTCCCCAAAATTTTAGTCAGACAACCGGACAACCATTGTTAAGTTACCAGACCAGATAAAATTTTGCCAGTCCAGAATTTTCTAGGCTAACAAAAGTAACAAAAGCGTAAACATAAGAACAGTACTGTTTAATGTACGTTGTCAGAATATAACAATAAACCTGTTGATTGTCAACTTATCTTTAACTCCCGACCATCAGGCATCCAACTTTTCAAAACTGACCGTCCATCAGCAAAACAGACCGTCTAGGACTGTCGGGCAGGCCGGTATTTTAAACACCGCTAACTGATATTCATACCTGTCCTAGGAATGATGGCATGTATTTTAAACACTGCTAACTGATATTCATACCTGTCCTAGGAATGATGGCATGTATTTTAAACACCGCTAACTGATATTCATACCTGTCCTAGGAATGATGGCATGTATTTCAAACACTGCTAACTGATATTCATACCTGTCCTAGGAATGATGGCATGTATTTCAAACACTGCTAACTGATATTCATACCTGTCCTAGGAATGATGGCATGTATTTTACCATTCAGCTCACTCTGTGATGAGCGAGGACAGTACGCGTGTGAAGTACTACACGTCCGGTCACAAGGGGCTGCTCAAGACGCTTCACACAGTTCCTCATGACGTCGGGGACCCAGGTCAGTAGTAGTAATAATAATAATAATAAAATAATAATCTGCATATTTATGTCGCAATCAAATCCACATCCTAAGGCATGCTCAAAGCTCTACATTAACACCCCCATCAGTGGATCTGTGTGCACTCAATTCATTCTCAACTCTCTGATGTGAAAGAATCAGATGGTCCTTAACTTTACATACATATTGTGTTGGCTGATTATTTGTCATAGTACCATATTATTGTGGTTAGTTTCTCGTGTTTTGAACCACTGGCTTACCTGGCCCACAAGTTCCCTGTACAGAGTCGACCTTTGAGATTACATACTCCCTGTTGGGATTCTAGGGCAGTATTGGTCCCAGTGCTAAGAATGAACAGTTTCACGGATGTATCGGTGCAACACGATTCAACACACCTTTCACAAAAAGCTCTAATCTGCATCAGATGTTTGGAAAGTGGTAGAATCATCATAATCATCATCATCATCACCATCATCATCATCATCATCTTGTAGTGATGTTGACTTCTAACAACACAAACAAATGTATTTTGGAAAGAAAAATATTAGCGCTTCATGAGCATCAACTTGTATTGTTTCAGGACGTGGTACCCGTCATTGTCGTGACAGTAAAATACACTGATGATTGTGTGGTTCCTGTGTGTGTCCTGTGTGCATGTGTGTGTGACCTGTCTGCATGTGTGTCACCTGTCTGCATGTGTGTGACCTGTCTGCATATGTGTGTCCTGTCTGCATGTGCTTGACCTGTCTGCATGTGTGTGACCTGCCTGCCTGTGTGTGACCTGTCTGCATGTGTGTGACCTGTCTGCATGTGCTTGACCTGTCTCCATGTGCACGACCTGTCTGCATGTGTGTGACCTGTCTGCATGTGTTACCTGCCTGCCTGTGTGTGACCCGTCTGCATGTGTGTGACCTGTCCTGTCTGCATGTGCTTGACCTGTCTGCATGTGCTTGACCTGTCTGCATGTGTGTGACCTGTCTGCATGTGTGTGACCTGTCCTGTCTGCATGTGCTTGACCTGTCTCCATGTGCTTGACCTGTCTCCATATGCTTGACCTGTCTGCATGTGTGTGACCTGCCTGGCTGTGTGTGACCTGTCTCCATGTGTGTGACCTGTCTCCATGTGTGTGACCTGTCTGCCTGTGTGTGACCTGCCTGCATGTGAGTGACCTGTCTGCATGTGCGTGACCTGTCTGCCTGTGCGTGACCTGTCTGCCTGTGTGTGACCTGTTTGCATGTGTGTGACCTGTTTGCATGTGTGTGACCTGCCTGGCTGTGTGTGACCTGTCTCCATGTGTGTGACCTGTCTCCATATGCTTGACCTGTCTGCCTGTGTGTGACCTGCCTGCATGTGAGTGACCTGCCTGGCTGTGTGTGACCTGTCTCCATGTGTGTGACCTGTCTCCATGTGTGTGACCTGTCTGCCTGTGTGTGACCTGCCTGCATGTGAGTGACCTGTCTGCATGTGCGTGACCTGTCTGCCTGTGCGTGACCTGTCTGCCTGTGTGTGACGTGTCTCCATGTGTGTGACCTGTCTGCATGTGTGTGACCATGAACCTCAGTATCTGCCCTTAAGTGATAACATTGTTTTTTCCCTGATGTAGAGGACGAGCCATGGAAGCGCGTCAATGCCTACAGGATTCATGAGACGGCCAACTGGAAGGACCTCAATCTGAAGTTTGTCCTGCAGGTGTACAGAGACTACCACGCCACACAGGACAAGGAGTTCATGGAGAATATGTACCCCAAGGTCAAGGTGAGGTCAACAGGGATATGACGCCTTGGGACATGACCTGAATGTGTATCAATCATGGTAGTTTGTGTTCATGATGTCTTGCATTCGATGTATGTTGTTTGAAATAACTGCATCCTTCACTCTCCAATTCATGTAGCTGCATATTAAGGTCCACAGTGTAAACCCTGTGATGACTGAAGGCTTGAATCAGTCCCCAGTGGACAGCTTACTGAGATTGATTCTAGCTCAGATAGCAGCCTGTGCTGGTCATCAGTGGTCAGCAAATGGATCGGGTGGTCAGGCTCAGTGACTTGGTTGATTGCGTGTCATCGTACCCTGATGGCATGGATAGTTGCCCTGCAATATCAGTCACTGGATAGCCTAGTCCAGACATGATTTACGTACGTGGTCATATAGCTAGACTGTAGCTCATTGTGTTGTTAAGCAACAAATAAACAAACAACAATGTAAACATCTTGTTCATATAGAATATGGTTGGAACTGATATGGTTATTGATAACTTGCAGGGTGTGATCGAGACTGCACTGAAGTGGGACATCGATGACGACGGTATCATTGACAACAGTGGCTTTGCCGACCAGACTTTCGACGCATGGACTATGAGTGGAGCAAGGTACACACGAGGGGTCCAGCTGTGGACCACAGGTTTATCCTGTTTACTCCTTATGGAGTACTTAGTGTGTGTAACCAGACTGCAGTTACCTGGTTCATGTAGGGTAGCGGAGGAAACATGTATGTGGTGGATGGCAGCTAGCGATGTGTGGATATATCATGTATATGTCATCCCTGTTGCAGCACTACTGTGGTGTATGGCAGCTCGCAATGTGTGGCTATATCATGAATATGTCGTCCCTGTTGCAGCTCCTACTGTGGTGGATGGCAGCTCGCGATGTGTGGATATATCATGTATATGTCGTCCCTGTTGCAGCGCCTACTGTGATGTATGGCAGCTCGTGATGTGTGGATATATCATGTATATGTCGTCCCTGATGCAGCACTACTGTGGTGTATGGCAGCTCGCGATGTGTGGATATATCATGTATATGTCGTCCCTGATGCAGCACTACTGTGGTGTATGGCAGCTCGCGATGTGTGGATATATCATGTATATGTCGTCCCTGTTGCAGCACTACTGTGTTGTGTGGCAGCTCGCAATGTGTGGCTATATCATGAATATGTCGTCCCTGTTGCAGCTCCTACTGTGGTGGATGGCAGCTCGCGATGTGTGGATATATCATGTATATGTCGTCCCTGTTGCAGCGCCTACTGTGATGTATGGCAGCTCGTGATGTGTGGATATATCATGTATATGTCGTCCCTGATGCAGCACTACTGTGGTGTATGGCAGCAGGGTGTGTGGATATATCATGTATATGTCATCCCTGTTGCAGCACTACTGTGGTGTATGGCAGCTCGCAATGTGTGGCTATATCATGAATATGTCGTCCCTGTTGCAGCTCCTACTGTGGTGGATGGCAGCTCGCGATGTGTGGATATATCATGTATATGTCGTCCCTGTTGCAGCACTACTGTGGTGTATGGCAGCTCGTGATGTGTGGATATATCATGTATATGTCGTCCCTGATGCAGCACTACTGTGGTGTATGGCAGCTCGCAATGTGTGGATATATCATGTATATGTCGTCCCTGTTGCAGCACTACTGTGGTGTATGGCAGCTCGCAATGTGTGGATATATCATGAATATGTCGTCCCTGTTGCAGCGCCTTCTGTGGTGATTGGCAGCAGGGTGTGTGTTGATATATGATGTATATGTCGTCCCTGTTGCAGCGCCTACTGTAGTGATTGGCAGCAGGGTGTGTGTGGATATATCATGTATATGTCATCGCTGTTGCCATGGTGCAGCACCTACTGTGGTGTATGGCAGCAGGGTGTGTGTGGATATATCATGTATATGTCATCCCTGATGCAGCACCTACTGTGGTGAATAGCAGCAGGGTGTGTGGATATATCATGTATATGTCATCCCTGTTGCAGCACCTACTGTGGTGAATAGCAGCAGGGTGTGTGGATATATCATGTATATGTCATCCCTGTTGCAGCACCTACTGTGGTGAATAGCAGCAGGGTGTGTGGATATATCATGTATATGTCATCCCTGTTGCAGCACCTACTGTGGTGAATAGCAGCAGGGTGTGTGGATATATCATGTATATGTCATCCCTGTTGCAGCACCTACTGTGGTGAATAGCAGCAGGGTGTGTGGATATATCATGTATATGTCATCCCTGTTGCAGCACCTACTGTGGTGAATAGCAGCAGGGTGTGTGGATATATCATGTATATGTCATCCCTGTTGCAGCACCTACTGTGGTGAATGGCAGCAGGGTGTGTGTGGATATATCATGTATATGTCGTCCCTGTTGCAGCACCAACTATGGTGTATGGCAGCAGGGTGTGTGTGGATATATCATGTATATGTTGTCCCTGTTGCAACATCTACTGTGGTGAATGGCAGCAGGGTATGTGGATATATCATGTATATGTCATCCCTGTTGCAGCACCTACTGTGGTGAATGGCAGCAGGGTGTGTGTGGATATATCATGTATATGTCGTCCCTGTTGCCATGGTTGCAGCACCTACTGTGTGGTGAATGGCAGAAGGGTGTGTGTGGATATATCATGTATATGTCATCCCTGTTGCAGCACCTACTGTGGTGGATAGCAGCAGGGTGTGTGGATATATCATGTATATGTCGTCCCTGTTGCAGCACATACTGTGGTGAATGGCAGCAGGGTGTGTGGATATATCATGTATATGTCGTCCCTGTTGCAGCACCTACTGTGGTGAATGGCAGCAGGGTGTGTGGATATATGATGTACATGTCGTCCCTGTTGCAGCGCCTACTGTGGTGGGATGTGGCTGGCCTCGCTGCGGATGACGATTGAGATGGCCAGCAAGTTGGGGTTCAAGGAAGACATGGACAAGTACCAGGTGGTGCTGGACAAGGGACGTCAGTCATACGAAACCAAACTTTGGAACGGTCAGTGAATATGTGGGATATGGACTAGCATGGTCACAACAGACCTCTTAGTGGTTAGTGAATATGTGGGATGTGGACTAGCATGGTCACAACAGACCTCTTAGTTGTAAGTGAATATGTGGGATATGGACTAGCATGGTCACAACAGACCTCTTAGTGGTCACGGAATATGTGGGATATGGACTAGCATGGTCACAACAATCCTCTTAGTGGTCAGTGAATATGTGGTTTATGGACTAGCATGGTCACAACAATCCTCTTAGTGGTCAGTGAATATGTGGGATGTGGACTAGCATGGTCACAACAATCCTCTTAGTGGTCAGTGAATATGTGGGATATGGACTAGCATGGTCACAACAATCCTCTTAGTGGTCAGTGAATATGTGGGATATAGATTAGCATTCTCTACAGACCTCTTAGTGGTCACGGAATATGTGGGATATGGACTAGCATAGTCACAACAGACCTCTCAGTGGTCAGGGAATATGTGGGATATAGATTAGCATTCTCTACAGACCTCTTAGTGGTCAGGGAATATGTGGGATATAGATTAGCATTCTCTACAGACCTCTAAGTGGTCACGGAATATGTGGGATATGGACTAGCATAGTCACAACAGACCTCTCAGTGGTCAGGGAATATGTGGGATATAGATTAGCATTCTCTACAGACATCTTAGTGGTCAGGGAATATGTGGTATATAGATTAGCAATCTCTACAGACCTCTTAGTGGTCAGGGAATACGTGGGATATGGACTAGCATAGTCACAACAGACCTCTTAGTGGTCAGGGAATATGTGGGATATAGATTAGCAGTCTCTACAGACCTCTTAGTGGTCAGGGAATACGTGGGATATGGATTAGCAGTCTCTACAGACCTCTAAGTGGTCGGTGAATATGTGGGATATGGACCAGCATGGTCACAACAGACCTCTTAGTGGTCAGTGAATATGTGGGATATGGACTAGCATGGTCACAACAGACCTCTTAGTGGTCAGTTAATATGTGGGATATGGACTAGCATGGTCACAACAATCCTCTTAGTGGTCAGTGAATATGTGGGATATAGATTAGCATTCTCTACAGACATCTTAGTAGTCAGGGAATATGTGGGATATAGATAAGCATTCTCTACAGACCTCTTAGTGGTCACGGAATATGTGGGATATGGACTAGCATAGTCACAACAGACCTCTCAGTGGTCAGGGAATACGTGGGATATAGATAAGCATTCTCTACAGACCTCTTAGTGGTCAGGGAATATGTGGTATATAGATTAGCAATCTCTACAGACCTCTTAGTGGTCAGGGAATACGTGGGATATGGACTAGCATAGTCACAACAGACCTCTTAGTGGTCAGGGAATATGTGGGATATAGATTAGCAGTCTCTACAGACCTCTTAGTGGTCAGGGAATACGTGGGATATGGATTAGCAGTCTCTACAGACCTCTTAGTGGTCAGTGAATATGTGGGATATGGACCAGCATGGTCACAACAGACCTCTTAGTGGTCAGTGAATATGTTGGATATGGCCTAGCATGGTCACAACAGACCTCTTAGTGGTCAGTGAATATGTGGGATATGGACTAGCATGGTCACAACAGACCTCTTAGTGGTCAGTGAATATGTGGGATATGTACTAGCATGGTCACAACAATCCTCTTAGTGGTCAGTGAATATGTGGGATATAGATTAGCATAGTCACAACTGACCTCTTAGTGGTCAGGGAATATGTGGGATATAGATTAGCAGTCTCTGCAGACCTCTTAGTGGTCAGGGAATAAGTGGGATATGAACTAACATAACAAAATATTAATGACACTAAATAATTATGTTGAGGAGTATGTGTAACAGAGGATGTTGTTATGGATTCTGTTCTACAGAAAGTAATGTTGGTTTCAACTGCTTGTTTCCAGGCCGGTACTACGACTACGACAGCAGCACCAGTGGGCATCATGACAGTCTGATGGCCGACCAGCTTGCAGGCCAGTGGTTCCTGCGGGCATCGGGGCTGCAGGATGACAAGGTAAAGCAAGATTCCTGGAATCTATGTCCTTGAAGAGAGCATGTGCCTTCTGCATCTGTAGTATATCCATGTTCATGTTCCTAATGTTTCAAATGTGCTGGCCCCATGGGGATTCCGGATGAGAATTGTTCTGGGTGAGAATTGGTCCCCAACATATTCTTCTTGTGAAAGATGACTTGCTGGGCAGACTCAGTGCTTGTGTGTCATTGAACCTCGACAGTGGGAATATCATTGAGTGTGGGGTTAAACAACAAATTTTATATATATAGGCAGTGTTTGACCTAACTCACTCACTTACTCAATTCTGATGGAGATTTTTCTATTTCATTTGTTCAGGTGTTTCCCCCAGATCATGTACAGAGTGTCCTGAAGACTATCTACGAGAACAATGTCATGAAGTATGGTAATGGTAACATGGGTGCAATCAATGGGACCCGACCAGATGGCAGTCGAGACACCAGTAGCTGCCAGGCAGAGGAATTCTGGGTAGGAGTGATATACGGTCTGGCTGCCAGCATGATCCAGGAGGTGAGTAGAGGTTGCTGTTCATATATTACACACAGATGATGTCCTAATTGTTGTAATGTGTCCCAGGTGTCAAGCACTCCTTGTCTCCTGCCTTTGACAGGCATTGACAGATGTCAAGCATTCCTTGTCTCCCGTCTTTGACAGGCGTTGACAGATGTCAAGCTCTCCTTGTCTCCCGTCTTTGACAGATGTCAAGCATTCCTTGCCTCCCGTCTTTGACAGGCATTGACAGATGTCAAGTACTCCTTGTCTCCCGTCTTTGACAGGCATTGACAGATGTCAACCATTCCTTGTCTCCCGTCTTTGACAGGCATTGACAGATGTCAAGCACTCCTTGTCTCCCGTCTTTGACAGGCATTGACAGATGTCAACCATTACTTGTCTCCCGTCTTTGACAGGCATTGACAGATGTCAACCATTCCTTGTCTCCCATCTTTGACAGGCATTGACAGATGTCAAGCTCTCCTTGTCTCCCGTCTTTGACAGGCATTGACAGATGTCAACCATTCCTTGTCTCCCATCTTAGACAGGCATTGACAGATGTCAAGCTCTCCTTGTCTCCCGTCTTTGACAAGCATTGACAGATGTCAACCATTCTTTGTCTCCCGTCTTTGACAGGCATTGACAGATGTCAACCATTCCTTGTCTCCCGTCTTTGACAGGCATTGACAGATGTCAAGCACTCCTTGTTTCCCATCTTTGACAGGCATTGACAGATGTCAACCATTCCTTGTTTCCCGTCTTTGACAGGCATTGACAGATGTCAAGCACTCCTTGTTTCCCGTCTTAGACAGGCATTGACAGATGTCAAGCACTCTTGTCTCCCGTCTTTGACAGGCATTGACAGATGTCAACCATTCCTTGTCTCCCATCTTTGACAGGCATTGACAGATGTCAAGCTCTCCTTGTCTCCCGTCTTTGACAGGCATTGACAGATGTCAACCATTCCTTGTCTCCCGTCTTTGACAGGCATTGACAGATGTCAACCATTCCTTGTCTCCTCATCTTTGACAGGCATTGACAGATGTCAAGCTCTCCTTGTCTCCCGTCTTTGACAGGCATTGACAGATGTCAACCATTCCTTGTCTCCTGTCTTTGACAGGCATTGACAGATGTCAACCATTCCTTGTCTCCCGTCTTTGACAGGCGTTGACAGATGTCAAGTACTCCTTGTCTCCCATCTTTGACAGGCATTGACAGATGTCAACCATTCCTTGTTTCCTGTCTTTGACAGGCATTGACAGATGTCAAGCACTCCTTGTTTCCCGTCTTAGACAGGCATTGACAGATGTCAAGCACTCTTGTCTCCCGTCTTTGACAGGCATTGACAGATGTCAAGCACTCTTGTCTCCTGTCTTTGACAGGCATTGACATATGTCAAGCATTCCTTGTTTCCCGTCTTTGACAGGCATTGACAGATGTCAAGCACTCCATTGTCTCCCGTCTATGACAGGCATTGACAGATGTCAGGCACTCCTTGTCTCCCGTCTTTGACAGATGTCAAGCACTCCTTATCTCCCGTCTTTGACAGGCGTTGACAGATTTCAAGCACTCCTTGTCTCCCGTCTTTGACAGACATTGACAGATGTCAAGCACTCCTTGTCTCCCGTCTTTGACAGACATTGACAGATGTCAAGCACTCCTTGTCTCCCGTCTTTGACAGGCATTGACAGATGTCAAGCACTCCTTGTCTCCTGTCTTTGACAGGTGTCAAGCACTCCTTGTCTCCTGTCTTTGACAGGTGTCAAGCACTCCTTGTCTCCTGTCTTTGACAGATGTCAAGCACTCCTTGTCTCCCGTCATTGACAGGCATTGACAGATGTCAAGCACTCCTTGTCTCCCGTCTTTGACAGGCATTAAAAGATGTCAGGCACTCCTTGTCTCCTGTCTTTGACAGGCATTGACAGATGTCAAGCACTCCTTGTCTCTTGTCTTTGACAGGTGTCAAGCACTCCTTGTCTCCTGTCTTTGACAGGTGTCAAGCACTCCTTGTCTCCCGTCTTTGACAGGCGTTGACAGATGTCAAGCACTCCTTGTCTCCCATCTTTGACAGGCCAGCGTTAGAAATTGGCACTAGTCCTGTAGTTCTTACCAAACTGCCCAATGGTAAAGGTATCCTAAGGACTAGTAGAAATTGACCAGTTTTTGAATGTACCCCAGTATTAGTTTTCTAATGTAAAAAACTTGGAGCTATGAGCACCAATGATTGTTTCACAAGTTGTAAGCTATGATAATTGGGACTTACCCCGAGGAGGGGCAGACCAGATACCTATGATCGTCAGTTCAAATCTTAAGTTTGTCCTGAGTTTCTTAGCACCAAACCCGTGCTCGTGGGTTTCACCAAAGTGGTAAAAGTCTGAGACATGCATCTCTTGGGGCTTTCCTCCCACATCCAGCTGATGCGACTTGATATAACTGTAATACTATTCAAATCAGCCCTAGGAGTAATGCATGCAATTATTAATTAGAAAGAAAATAAGAAATATAATATATGTTATTCATGTTATCATGGTTATCATCAGTGAGCAGTTACTTGTGGCATTATATAAGAGTTCTTCTCTCAGCCAAATTCCTTCCACTGATGTACGTGATGTTCTCTCTTACAGGGTTTGATATCAGAGGGCTTTCAAACAGCGTGGGGAGCCTACCATGTATGCTGGGAGCAATACGGCCTGCAGTTCCAAACACCTGAAGCCTACATGACGTCCAAACACTACCGTTCTCTTGGATACATGCGGCCATTATGCATCTGGTCCATGCAGTGGGCCCTAGAACGCTTCCAGCCACAGTTACTTCAGCAGAAAGAGGGCGCTACAGTCTCACAGACGAGAAGTGTCCTCGTACAGGAAGTTAACCCAGAAGTCCCTGGCACCGCAGAGTCCGGGGTCACAAGAAGCGAGATCCAGCTGGAGGTCACCGAGCAATAAATTAAATTATTGACCAACCTGAAATCTGATACCTCACTTGACATTTTATCAGAACTTGTGTGTAGAAGATTTGAGGGGTTCTATTTATCAGATGATTACATTTTAAATCCTACATCATGTCTGTAAGTCTTAAGTATGACTGTCCATCTCATTAAGTCACCCTGTTTGCCTTTGTAGTTCATCAATTTAACACGTTTTCTTAGGCCTAATGTTTTCTTGAATGTGAATAAGAAAAACTTCATATTGACTCCATCCGCAAAATCATATAGATACATAAAACAACGAGAACAAAAGTTAGATCTCTTCTTTGAAGCAGAAAGATCAGGTCTGGATTGTTCTGTGTACTATTTTTCTATTTATTATCATTTCAATATTGAAATATTTCATCTACAATGGGCTTAAAAAAATAAAGATTTGGTTCTCAGGCAATATTTTTTGAAAAATAGTGTGGGCAGGCGGTATCTTTTTTCCTTTTTGTTTTGGTTTTCCAAACTAGAATGTAAGGATTTTTAAAAAAATAATTAAAAATGGAAATAAAAACAAATCTTTATGATGATGCCGGCGGTGCCTGAGAACCAAGACTATTATTTGTTTTAGCCATATCATTTGGTTTTAGATTTCTAGGCACCAAAATAGGTTATGTTATACTAAACATAAAAAACATCAAATCTTGCACCTTAAGTCTACTTAATCAATTTATCCAAATAGCAAAGTTATATGAAAACTTAACAGTTCTGTACTAAAGGTTACTGTGTATAAATAAGGTATAACTGAGAAGATCTGGGCCCACTTGCACAAAGCGATCTTAGTGCTAAGACTATCGTAAGCCTATGTTAAAGTATGGGAGTTATGATCATCTTAACGCTAAGATCACTTTGTTTAAGTGGGCCCTGGTTATATCTATCCAATTAGTTGATACTAAGTACCAGAACAGCAGTATATATGTGGCATCGTTTCAGTTTGGTTATTGTTGTTGTTGTTTGAGTGCCAAAGTTTTATTCTATGCAGTGCAATATTGTTATCAATATTGTTTTGTTCTGTTTGGATGAATGACATGTGGCCTTGGATTATACTTTAACTCAACTTGACCTGTATGGGGGTGTGACTGCTGTCCTTGAGGCTACTTCCCCAAGTACAACTGTTAATATGATTATTCTTCTGGTACTACTGTCCATACAACTCTGTTCCTGAAACAACTAACCATATACCTAATCCTTCACACCACCGTCAATATGATGGCTGTCCCTGAAAACATCATTTGAAGACTGCTTTGAAAAAGAGTCTATAAAATTGGAGTTGAAATTTATTTGAAAGCTAATCAACATTCTTCAAATTTATATTATGAAAAAGTGTACTGTGCCCGAAGGGTACTTTTAGTATCATCACAACATATATGATAGTTTATAGCCTATTTTTGCTCAAGAGACAAAGTTATGTAATAGATTTAGAGATCTTGTGCCTGTACTTTATCGAGATGTAAATGCACTGTCGCGAGAACAAAGGTTGAGGCCTTTCCTTGCAGTATGTTCTTACTACAGTACATGTATATCCCGATAAACTATTGCCTAAGTTCTCCATATATCTTTGAGCACTGGCCCATACTATACACTGCAGATCGCACAAGCTGCTCCATTCACATTCAAATGAGATTTCACAATTCATATCCTGCATCACTTCGGGCTTTCCTCCCACATTAAGCTGACACGCCGTGATATAACTGGATTAGTGTTAAAAGCAGCGTTAAACCCAACTCACTCACAATTCATATAAACTGTACTATTTGTTCAGTCAAGTGTTTGTTGTTTAACAAGAGTTTCATGCATCTGTACACTGTATACTTTACGGTACTTTGTCAGTGTATTTATGTATGTGCTCCGCCTGGCCTAGATAGTAACCACCAATTGGATGAAAGTATCTGCCTGTGCTCTGATTGTATATAGACATGTAACATGTGGTTGTGTATGCTGGTCATACTAGAGGAGTCTTAACATACTAATGTTCTGTAGCAGATACCATAATTTCTAAGGCAAGAAAAGATCAAAGGCACCAACAGTACATTATCTTGAGATAAAGTACACTTGTTGAGTCATAAGGGGCTGAGTTCATGAGGCTGTTCAAATTACCACTCCTGTGGTCTATTGTATCCTGGGTAATATTGTTCTATCATTTTTAGCAATCAAGATGGTTCATCTGCATCGCTCAGTGAAACAGTTTCTTTAAAGTTGTCGAATAATTAAATATTATTCCCTGTGAAGAAATATGGCAATATCATGTCAACAATTTCCCATGCTATGACTTTATCCCAAATATATACAAACCAAAGCAGCCATAAAGTTGTCTGAAGTGGGCGTCGCTGCCCTGTGAATTATTTCACTGTCTTGCCACATATATGAGCAATCCTTGAAGTGTTTAATGACCACATTGCTCACCGAAGCGCGTTAGAAAAATACTGCATGTCTTCCCCCCACCCTGTTTGTCCTATGGTGATGCCATTTCACGCCCCAACCCGCCAATTCGCGTTACAGTATCACCTAGTGCTACCCGCTGAGTAAGCGCTCCATTTCATGGCTTGCAGTTGCTACATTAGTTGTGGAAACATTAGGATCATCTTTTATGACGGAAAACACCTCAACCCATAATAACTAGCAACGCAAACTTTAGCTGTATGTACACCACTCTCTTTTGTCTGGCTTACTTATTCTGAAATCAGAGCAGACCGGCCTCATAGAAGTCTCTCAGTGGGCATCACATGGTTTGTATATTTATGGAGATTTGCTACTACAGCTGCGACGTTGAGGACTATAACAATATGTCTTTACCAATCAAGTGAAGCGGTACTAGGCTGGCCGTAAGGAACAAGGGTAGAAGCATGTGTTTATACGTGGGTAAGCTTGCTCTCACAATGCGCTAGTGGAAGGGTGAGTGTCATGTGATTAAACTGAACCAAATCTGTACAAAAACATGAATACGAATACTACTGTTTGCTGCATGGGATTTGGGATAATCACACACTGTACAGATAATATAATGTGACATATTTAACTCTATAAACTACACACTTTTTTACGTTTTGCTTTTTTCGTCACTAGGGTGCAGGCAATATGTGAAACAGATCTTCATTTAGCCCTGCCCAAGGAGTTTCAGTATATGGCGCCAACTATTTCAGATTTGATTTTGAACATATCTCCATTAAAGCGCAAATTTTGTCTCAAATTTGGTGTCCCCCGCTGTGATATTGCTGGAATATTGCTAAAAGCGGCGTAAAACCATACTCACTCACTCACTCAAATTTGGCATCTTAGAAAAGTAGTAAAGTTTCTTCTACCCCCGTGTGTAGTGTAACAAAGTATTGTTTTTGCCCTGAACTAAAATGTCAAAGCATCCTCATGCTTTAACTATAATAGTTCAAGGCAAACTTTATTATTTTTCTGAGATGCCGAATTATATGCAAACATTGTGCGGGTTAGAGCAAACATTATATCTAAATTCAACATTATGTCTACATTGAAATAGGAATGATTAAACGCAGAAATACTTAATATAAGACATGCTTAAATATAGGTAGATTCAGAGACGTATCAAACGTTGATCCCTGAGTTCTTTCATGGTTGCCATGATTAGCATATTTGTGAAAAAGTTGTTGAACTACTTCATGTTAAATATAGGATTATTTGGTGACAGTTCCCTTGTATATGTCAAATCCCATAATGCACTACACAAAAGAAGTTAAAGAACACCCTATTCTTTCATAGTACTGTCGTTACTGTAATCTGTCATGCCATGACAAATCAACTATAGTAATATGATAGAAGCAGGTGTTAATTTCTTTTGTGAAGTATATTTAGAAAGGTATGTCTAACTGACATGTCAGTGGGGTCAATATCTATGTTATTTTGTCCAGAACATGGTGTTGTCATACTCATTTATGAATTTATTTTGTAAAAAGCATTTGATTCCATCCATTTGGAAATTGTAGGATTTTGCTACAACTTTCAAAATAGTTGTGACAAACATGAGGTGTTGGAGGTTATTTTGAAGATTATGACAATGATCAGCTATGAGCCTGTGCTTAGTTAAAAGAAGGCAGAAGGTAATGTTAGTTGACCACAGACTTTGTCCATCAGACAACTGAATCAGCGCACTGACTTCGTGTAATTACCTTCCACCACTGATGAACAAGATGAAGAAACTGCTTATGTATGCCTGAGAGTGTAATGAAGTTTTTTAATTGATTTTGAAATTATTGACCCTGTTGTATGGTTCTATGGACCAAAGTTTAGAAGTTGTTAGACACCTACCCACCAGTATATTAAGAGAATGTGCCTCTGTGCATCTGTGTCTTGCAAGAATCCACCTACCTTGTGCATCCCTTTGTCTTGCAAGAATCCACCTACCTTGTGCATCCCTTTGTCTTGCAAGAATCCACCTACCTTGTGCATCCCTTTGTCTTGCAAGAATCTGCCTATTTTGTCCTTCTCTGTCTCTTGCAAGAATCTACCTACCTTATGCATACCTTCATCTTGCAAGAATCTGCCTATTTTGTCCATCTCAGTGTCTTGCAAGAATCTTCTGATTGTGCATTCCTTAGTCTTGCAAGAATCTGTGGGTTTTGATGACTGATTTGCCCAGATTGTGATCCTTGGTTTGTTTGCTGTTAAGTTTCCCCATTGACCTTTACTCCCACATGAAGCTGTCATGCCATGATATGACTGAAGTAAGACCCAGTCATCCCCTCGCATGGTTGGCACGAAAGGTATGGAGACATAAGGTTCAGGTTATGTCCAAAGGTTCAGAATGAAGCCTTAATTTCTCAAACCTGTCCTCGATATGCTTGCTTGAGGAAGAAGATCCAAAACAAGAAAATCAGTTTGTCATGGCATAACACCTCATCATATTGGACCTGTTATCTTTCACATTCAATAATGAGCAATAACATAATGCTGTAACTTGACAAAATGTTGTCCTTTCCATATTTCTACATTTGTTTGTCTTGATCTTGTTTATATACATTTGCATTATATTTTTTGTATACATTTTTAAGAATTAGAATGATATGTCTTAAATAGCTGACATGATCAAAACTGTCGATTTCTTTATGTGACCTATGACATTGGTGTGATTTGATTGTGGGTGGATAGGCATCTAATAGATCTAATTCAATATGCATTGTAAACATGTTAAAGAAACCCATTAGTTTATTCACATGATAGCAACAGTGATAATGACAAATGTGCAAGTTGTATCATCTCAGTCCTCAAGTACACACATATGTTATTGGAGGTGCTTGGGCTGTCAAACAAATTATTTGATTTTTGTGTCTTTTGTTACAATGCAACACAAATGAGTGTTTTAAGATGGGATGTATGCTTCACGATTAGACTGACATCAATAACCAGCATTTGAGATGGTGAGTATGGAATGGGTGATGCCAGTGGTTGCTGTGTGTGACCGTGTTATAAGCATAACCTTCAAATATGTGACACTTATCATGAGGTTGAGTTGACCTCCAGTTGCATCATGTGACACAGTTATCATGAGGTTGAGTCGACCTTAAATTGCATCATGTGACACTGTTATCATGAGGTTGAGTCGACCTCCAGTTGCATCATGTGACACTGTTATCATGAGGTTGAGTCGACATCCAGTTGCATCATGTGACACTGTTATCATGAGGTTGAGTCGACCTCCAGTTGCATCATGTGACACTGTTATCATGAGACACTGTTATCATGAGGTTGAGTCGACCTTAAATTGCATCATGTGACACTGTTATCATGAGGTTGAGTCGACCTTAAATTGCATCATGTGACACTGTTATCATGAGGTTGAGTCGACATCCAGTTGCATCATGTGACACTGTTATCATGAGGTTGAGTCGACCTCCAGTTGCATCATGTGACACTGTTATCATGAGGTTGAGTCGACCTCCAGTTGCATCATGTGACACTGTTATCATGAGACACTGTTATCATGAGGTTGAGTCGACCTCCAGTTGCATCATGTGACACTGTTATCATGAGGTTGAGTCGACCTCCAGTTGCATCATGTGACACTGTTATCATGAGGTTGAGTCGACCTCCAGTTGCATCATGTGACACTGTTATCATGAGGTTGAGTCGACCTCCAGTTGCATCATGTGACACTGTTATCATGAGATTGAGTCGACCTCCACTTGCATCATGTGACACTGTTATCATGAGGTTGAATAAGAGCTCCAATTACATTGTGTGACATTTCTCTCATAAAGCTGAATAAGATCTCTGTGCATTGTGTGACAGAGCACCAACTGCACGGTTACCTTCAACTGTGTGATGGTATGATTGTTATGAAGGTGACCAGAGCTGGTTCCCAGGCAGCATCACTAGTGGCATGGACAATCAGGGGAAAGCGTTTATGCATTCTAAATTCTAGTATCTCGAAAATTACTCACACTAGCAATTACTAAAAGCTAAAAATAATCTTACAATTAGGAGTGTTATTGCATGATGTATACATTAGACACTGTCTATCATCGACTATGTGCGCAATGAACATGCACTGTTAAATACACCATTCTACATCCCTTTATCTATGCAATTATATGCTACATGCTTGTTATTTTTTCATGCATTTAGAAAATCAAATCTTTTTCTTTCTTTTTTTTCATAATAATATTTCTTTCACAAATGCAAAAATTGGTTGATTTTGCATAATCTATGATGTAGTGCCATGTGTAATCACACTCAGCATTTTATTGCTTTTCGCTAAGATTCATTCTATTTTTTGCAGAATGGCATTATCAAGATTTGGTAGATGAAACTATATTATTGGTGTGAAAAGCTGGACATATAGTCACTTGTCAAGAGAACAGTTAAGATCTATCTCTTGGCTGATGGGTATTTCAAAACACAGCCTTCCAATTTTGGGTGTTCTTAACTTGTTTTGAGCAGTATATTTGTCTGGAGTCAAAGACAACACAACACCTTTTGCCTTAACGTGTCATGTTCATTATCTGTGAGAAGTCTGGATGGAGATGAGAGATGCCAATTTCACCAAAGTGGTAAGGTTGCACTTGCATCACTTCTTGTTTCCTCCCCACTACGCTGACAGTGATCTAAGTGAAGTACTATTCAAAGCAGCATTAAGCTCACTGTTAGTGTGTAAGAATGAACTTGACAATATAACCAGAAGACACTGGTTGTCACCTCACTTGTTTCTATGAAGACTTCTGTAGTGATTCAGAGGACAATTGGTTTTCAGCATATGTGTACATGTTGGAATGTTGGAATTACCTTTTCTTTTTACATTTTGTATATTTCTTCGATTTTTACACAATATAAAAATAAACCAATGCAACAGAATCCTGTCTTTCTTGTCTCAAGCAGTGATTGAACCTGCCTACCACGTCTCAAACAGTTGAACCAGGATTCATATGTAAAACCCCATAATAATCCTGGGTTAAGATGGGTCTCAAGCAAGGTTGGCTTGAGGCAACTAGATGTATAATTTCAATTCTTTATTTCAGTATAAAGGCCATAGGCCCACGTACAAATACTCATTGAAAAATACAGTATGAGGCAGATGACAGAGGGTATTAAGTGACAGTATTTCGGATTGCAAGTGCTTCCAGTATATACTTAACACAATTAGTTACAATACTAGTGCGGTTACAAGATAATAGAGTATTATATTTAAATAAGGTAGGATTGGAAGAGTAATAAATAGGTAAATACTTATTTCTTAAATAGCTGTAACATGGGCAGACAAGCATAAAATGAAACTCATCTTCAATTTCCTGTAAATTACAATATCTGCACTGCCTATTACAGTACTCTATACCGCATCTTCTACCTAAATTTACCATCAATGGCAACTCGCCAATTCTTAACAAACAAAACATACGTCAAAAATGACGGCTTGTGATTTCACAGAGATACTTTTCAACTGTTAGCAATGACTTATATTCCTTATACATTGATAATTTACGTATTTCACAAACTTTACATTACCAGTCCTGTTGGTTACAGTCTTTTAACCTTTGAATAAATGCATTAGAAAGAGGGTCTCATTACCAACTTCCTGCGAAATCCACACGTGGCCAAATCCATAACTGAATAATAGTCTTTTGACACAAGTTACCCATGTAGTGCGATTAACTTCATCTAAAGATTTCAGGATTAAATAACATTGCTTAGGGTTTCTATAACTGGGTAAAGATAACAATTTCAACCAATATTTAATACATCTCTTGTGATAATCAATAAATAAGCCATATCTACCACATTCGCCAAGGGCAGCAACATTTGTCTAGATGTATAAGGGGACAGATGGTTGACTTGGTTGTGTGTCATTTTACCCCAACAACGTTGGGCAATGCTTGTGTCAATCACTGGTTTGTCTGGTCCAGATTCAAGTATTTACAGACTGGCCTCTTATGGCAAGAATATTGCTGAGTGCAGCGTTTCAACAACTAACAATCAAATCACCCACATATCTATCTATCTATCCATCCATCCATGACCAAAAGAAACCTCAACAAATTTTAAATGGACTAGCTAAAACGTAAAGACACAAATGGAACCAAATGTGTAACTGTAGCCCCAACACAACCACACCTGTGTCCCAGCATGAAAACTTTGAAATGCATGATTAATGTGCAGCAAGAGAAAATAATAACCATGTGACCACAAGAGTGCTTAAGTTGCACATGCGTTTGTGATATAAACATTGGTACGATGGTATTAAGCGTTCACACACATAAAAGAACACAACTGGTGCGCCAAGACCAAGACCGAGAGCTAGCCATTGATGTGCTACATCCCGACACATCCCACGCCAATTGCAACAACCTTCTGTTCAGAACTTATGGTTCCTGTGTTGCCGCCTGAAACCGAATTGACCGCCTCCCTGATCTAGTGGTAGTGCGTCCGCCCGGAGAGCGGAAGGTCTGGGGTTCGATCCCCTACCGCTTCATACCAAAAGACGTTAAAAGATGGTACTTGTTGTAACCCTGTCTGGCGCTCGGATCTTCATGGGACTTCTTGTAAAAGAGAAGCATAGATGAAGAACCACACAATTAATTCATCCTATATAAATTCATCATATGCCATGAATAATTAATAATTCATCACATATCATATCATTTTATATCAATGAATCATAACGATCCTAACTATATATCTTAAACTTGACTCACCGACACAGCAGGCAGAGGGAGGAAGTCCATGTTCCAGTCATAGTCACGCAGGATGTCCCGCCGACCCAGTTTAACTGAATCATTGAGCAGATATGTTAATGGAACATGGTTTATTTGTTTATTGTTACTTAACACTGAGCATGCACGCACACACCAACACCAACACACCAACACACCAACACACACACACACACACACACACACACAGGGTTGTGAGGGGAAAAAAGACACGTATATGCATGAAACATGGTTTATTTGTTTACTGTTACTTAATGCTGAGCATGCACGCACGCACACACAAACACCCACGCACACGCACACGCACACACACACAGAGTTGTGAGGGGAAAAAAGACACGGTATATGCATGAAACAGGGTTTATTTGTTTACTGTTACTTTGAGCCGCAGTCACGCAGACAATGCGACCGCGAAGTAACCTTCAAAATATTTGAAAAACGCAATGAGGTTTTCAGGGGTCTCTGAAAGGTTTCACCGAGGTCGCTACAATGTTTCAGAGAAGATCGCAAACCCCATTTTGAACATGCACAAAAGACTGGCTGCGACCGATTTGGTCGCACGGTGGTTTCACTGATCTCTTACAGGTCCCATACGTGGTGTTATTTTAATCGCAGATTGGTTTCCAGTGTGTGGCGATCGGTTTCGCCTACACATTGGTGTTGACTCTTTGCAACCTGGTATCGGTGATTGATCAGTGATGAGAGGGCGATCGGCCGTCGCTTCGTCGGTGACCGGTTGTCGATCGGCTGCAACGTGGTTTCCAAGCGTGCGTCGATCATTCGCCGTTTTGTTTGCAACATGTCACCGTCTATAAAAGACCTGTCTGGGCATTACAGCATCATTTTGTCATATGTACTCAGAGGGTTCACGTCAATCATTTCCATTCATTACTATGGTCCGTATAGGCAGGAACACAAAAGAACCAGAAATTGTAGAAGATACAATACATACAACTGCTGTGGTGCACAGTTCTGCTTCATTCTGGGGTAGCCAACGAAATCACCACGGCTCTCTCTTTCCAGCTCTGCCATCAGATTCTCAAAGTCTCCTAGCTGTGGCCCTCTTGTGATCCAAGGTCTCTGCCAATACTGCCTTCGACTTGTCCTTCTCATTCTTCTGTGCACCATCATGGGCAGCAACTGCAGCATTTTGATTTATTCTTTGCAGGCAGAGCAACTGCATCTTGACAGTTTGCAAACAAATGATTTGATTCAGAAAAGAACCCTTTTATATGCATTATGTTTTGATCGGTGATCGATCGACAACTGGTCACCGACCAGTCCCCGTTCAGTTGCAACAAGTCACCGAAGATGAGCTGACTAGTCACCGATCGGTCTCAACCAGTTGCAAACATTTCGCCGTATAGGCGGTTAACAGTTGCCGATCAATCACTGACAAGTTGCAAAACCTATTGCAGATTGATCGGCGATCATACGCTAATTCCAAATATGGGCAGAAATAGTTACACCGGTCTCAGCGATCGCCAGTCGGTCGCAAAGGAAATCAGTCGCCAAGAGGTTGTCTGTGTGACTGAGGCTTAACGCTGAGCACGCCACGCACGCACGCACGCACGCACGCACATACACACACGCACGCACGCACTTACACACACGCGCGCACGCACGCACGCACGCACACACATACACACACGCGCACACACACACACACACACACGTGCATGCATGCACGTCGCTATATACGAACAATAATCTTGGACGCGACGTTAACCTCATTTCACCATCAAACCGAATTAGTGCAACAGTACAAAATAACAGGTCAGAAATAATACAAGTCAGGAACGTGTAGACAGCGTGTCACGACACTCCATGCCAACCGCTATTTGAGAATACTGCATTTCTGTAATCGCTACCTGACAGCGATATTATCAGAGGCAAATGTGTTGGGTCATAGAGTTCGCGGAACTGCAACCCCGAGACTGTGGTACAAGGATGATTTGTTGGTTGGTTTGTTGTTTAACGCTGCACTCAGCAATATCCCAGCGACATGACGGCGGTCTGTAAATAATCGAGTCTGGACCAGACAATCCAGTGATTGATATCATGAGCATCGATCCACGCAATTGGGATCGATGGCATGCATCAGCCAATTCATCGAGCCTGACCTCCCTATCCCGTTAGTCGCCTTTAACGACAAGCATGGATTGCTGAAGACTCATTCTACCTCGGATCTTGACGGAATTCATGACTAAGAATCTGTAGTGACCTTGTGATGACGTCATCTAGTGAAAGTGACACAATGTCAAGTTCCTGCCAGTGGAATTCAAGAACTTCTCCAGAATCATCCAGGTACAGGGAACTACAGTAACTAACCTGACGTTTATATTTTATTTTGAAACCGTTGTCTGTAGAAGTGAGATGCCTACTGTGTATATGGAGCTCTGGTTAATGTTACCAAAATGGCGACACTCTAGCGATGGGCATATGTTTTATATCGGTGGGTTATCAGCTGTCTTTGCTGTTCTGTAATTATGGATCTGAGATTTCAGATATGGATGAATCACAGTTGGAACTTGATGAATAAAATTTCAATGAGTTAAAGTCACTTAGTTTACCAGTTTTTTGTATTAAGTAACATTAAACAAGTCAGCGAACCTTACCACCCGATCCCGTTAGTCGCCTTTTACGATAAGCATAGTCACCTTTTACGGCAAGCATGGGTTGCTGAAGACCTATTCTACCCACGGGTCTACAAAGATGAAGTCCTTCGTCCTTACGTCATGCATTCCTTCAGCAACATGCAGACACAATGTACCCTATTCCACACCTCCAACCAACACATATTGTACAGGACAGATAGGAATGTTACGCGTTTAATCCGCGGGAATATAAAGAAAAGATATGTCATTGACTTTACATTGTGTTCAAATGCAAAATAAATTTCTCGCCAGAAACATAAAAAAGTTACAATCTGAACGGAAGTTGTATTAATAAAATCTATAAAGAAAAGATATGTTATTGACTTTACATCGTGTTCAAATGCAAAATAAATTTCTTTCTCAAAAGTTACAATCTGAACGGAAGTTGTATTAATAAAATCTCGGGAATATTATAACATATTATATAGCAAATATTCCCGGATTATTATATAAAATCCTGGCGATATTATAACATCCCTGTTTATGAGAT